CAACGAAGTTTGCTCATCCCCTTGCTGTGGGCAGAGATGAGATGGTTGGGGTGCTGGCGGATGAACCGGTCAACCTAGCTTTCTGAAACTGGCTTTCTAGCTAAATCTGAAGCAAAGCGTTGTATTATTTCCTTCGTAGGTGGCAAACGTTGTTTGGTAAGCGTATTGATGTATTGTACAAGCTCCTTCTCGTGTTGTGGATGGAGGGAGAGGTTGCGCACGCCATAGGCCTCAGTTTCGCCGCGGTGTCGTCTTATTAACGTCATTCGTGCTACACCATGCTTTTTCGCGATTGCTTGATACGAGAATTTATCTCCTGGTTCTCGCGATTTGATTTCTGCAATCGCTTCTTGAATTGGGTCCATATTGGTTGAGTTTTGACGCGTTGAAGTTTTGTTGTTGTGGTGGTGGGGGTGCTCAACTGGCGATGGTGCTCATCTGGTGCACGGGCACTGTAGAGCTGCCCGTGGAAAGCGCAACCAAACCTTCTCACCTCGACCTCCAACGTCACCCCAGATACTCGCCATACTCGTCCCATCTCTCCTTGTCGCATCGCTGCATATAATGAGCCGGCAAGACCGGCAAGAATGAGGGTTCATCCTGGTCTTCAGCCGGCGCGTCAGCCTCATGGATCGCATTACTACACGTTATAGCCATCGCAGGCTGGCCAAGCAACAGCTGAGGCGATGCAACATGCAAGCAGAACGGAAAATTGGTAGCGACAATGGGTGGCTGCAGCTGTTGAGGAGACAAACGAGCAAAGAGCAAATCAGAATGTTCCCATATTCGGCCCCCCTCCCGACTGCCTGGGATAGCCCATGGTTATATTGTATGCCCTCCGCACACGCCAGCATCTGGACCATAAGGGGGCTTGGACACAACACACCTGCCATGAGCATGTTATTGCGCTGCGACCGGGCATTGCGCCATATTGGGAGAGGATGGCGGCTTTCTGTGCGAGGACGAACACGAATAAGGAGCCGGATAGGGTTACATCTAGGCCGGTCGCGGCAGGTATGTGTCAACCTGCTCACGGTACATATGGCAAAAGACATTAGGCGCACAGCAAGATCTAACCAGGCCGAGGCTACGCGGAAAATGCAGGCGTCCGCAACCTCACGGTTCCATCAAGATAGACGCAGGCGACAGGACGGGGCGGCAATGATTACCAAGTGGATGAGATGACTGTGGATTTGTGTTAAACTCTTTCTCACGACCTGCCTGTTTGGGCGCGCCGTTTATCCGCCACGGATGTGCTCATGGCCGGCGTTGCTTGGCAGCGGGCGCCACCAATCTTGACAAGACCTTTGTGGAGCGACACGTGAGCGGAATGGCCACGCCCGCCAAGTCGGTCTATCTGGCGACCCGCTACTGGGCCGAATTACGATAGGACGACAGCGGAAACATGCTTTCTGGGTGCCCACCGCCGCCGAGCTTGTTTGTACGCCCGCATGCCTAGCCCTGATCAGGCAGGAGATATTGTGCTGCTGGCCTATCTTTCGACACGTCCGGTATAGTTTCGACCACACGGCAGGGTGCAATGATGCCATGTCCAGTCGTACAGCCAACGAGAACCAACGTCACATCCAGGTACCGGTCCCGACGCGCCGCAGACCCCGCTGGCAAAAGGCCCTGGTGCAGGGGCGTACAACGATGCAACGGCGCAGCTCCATACACAAAAAGGCTCACTGCCCTGCACCTCCTTCGTCCGACCATCGACCTCGTCCAATTGAGCTTTCACGAAGCTGGTCGCATACACAATGGCTCGTTACCTCAGTGTCGCCGCAGCGTTGGCTGCTACTGGAGCATGTGCGCTCACGCCCGAGTGCGTATCTCTTTGCGAACATGTATCCACGGCGATCAAATGCTAACACGGCTACAGGCTACTTCTCAGCACTATTCGTCGTGGTGCTGCTGATCCCAGTCCCGATGGCACAGTTGCTCTGTTCTCGCAGTCGCAGTACTCTTTCGAGAAGCACAAGGGCAGCTCAACCATGAACCTGATTGACCTCACCACCGGCGAGGTCACTGAATCGGGCCTCGATGCCAGCGCCATCAATGAGGTCGCATGGATTCCTGGTAGCAAGACTGGTATCATCTATATCAATGGCACCAACGAGGAGATCCCCGGTGGTGTCACCCTGTGGGTTGGCGACATCAAGCACCCCAACCTGAGCACCATGGTTGCTTCTTTGGACGCACCGTACTCCGGATTGAGGGTCGCCAACACCTCCACCGGCGACATGCATTTCCTGGTCAACTGCATGGCCTACCCCAACGGCACTGCAGTCAACCCTGAGACCCAAGCCAAGTCTCACTCAACCGCCCGCTACTACTCGGACATCTATGTCCGCCACTGGGACACCTGGCTGACCAAGAACCGATACCAGCTCTTCGCCGGAACTCTTTCGGCCAACAACAGCTATGCTCTCTCAGGCGAGGGTATGCGAAACCTCCAGAAGGGTATCAAATTCACCACTACCCAGCCCGAGACTCCCATTCAGCCCTTTGGCGACTCGAGCGACTACGCCATCAGCCCCGATGGTTCCATGTACGCTTTTGTCAGCAAGGCCCCTCAACTCAACAAGGCCAACTATACCGCGTCCTACGCTTACGTCGGTGCTTTTGCCTCCAATGACGCCCCCGTCGCCATCAACGGCCCTGGCTCGGAGATGTTCGAGGCCGGCCACCAGGGTGCTTCTGGTCAGCCGTCTTTCTCCAAGGACAGCTCCAAGCTCGCGTACATCCAGCAAGATGAGGACTACTATGAGTCGGACAGGTGGATTCTGTACACTGTCGATGTTGCCGCCAAGGATCAAGGCGTCGCTGTCAGCAACTGGAAGACTCTGAGCGCTGGCTTTGACCGCTGGGTTCAAGGACCCCTTACTTGGGCCCACGACTCTTCTTCCATCTACGTCACTGCTGAAGACTATGCCCGTGTCAAGATCTTCAACTTCCCCGTCACTGCAGATGAGAAGTTTGTTCCCGAGCCATTGACATCAAACACTTCTGTCTCGGCCTTTGCTCTTCTTCCCGACAGCTCGCTTTTTGTTGCCGCCACGGCCATCTGGACTCCTAGCGAATGGTACCTTCTTTCCAATGGCACCAAGAAGACCATTCTCGACGCATCCCAGATTGACCCCAACCTTGCTGGTCTCGGCGCTCACACCGTCTCGGAGATTTTCTTCAACGGCTCCAACCCCGCGCTCAAGCAGCAGCTCCAGGCGTATGTCGTCAAGCCCACTTTCTACAAGGAGAATGTCACTTACCCGCTCGCCTTCTTGATCCACGGAGGTCCTCAGGGAAGCTGGGGTAACAGCTGGTCCAACCGCTGGAACCCACAGGTCTGGGCCGACCAGGGCTACATTGTTGTCGCCCCCAACCCAACCGGTTCCACTGGTTTCGGTCAGTTCCTGATTGACTCGATCCAGGGCCAGTGGGGTAGCTGGCCATACCAAGATCTGGTCAACGCTTGGAACTTCATCGACACCAACCTTCACTGGATCGACACCAAGAACGGCATTGCTGCTGGTGCCTCGTACGGTGGTTACATGACCAACTGGATTCAAGCCAACGACCTTGGCAACCAGTTCAAGTGCCTTGTTACTCACGACGGTATCTCCAACACCGAGGGAGCCTGGGCATCCGAGGAGCTCTGGTTCATCCGCCACGACTACAACGGCAGCATCTGGGAATCTCCCGCCTACCGCGAGTGGAACCCCCAGAACCACATTGCCAACTGGTCTACCCCTCAGTTTGTCATTCACAACACACTCGACTACCGTCTGCCTGAAAGCGATGGTATCAGCCTGTTCAACATTCTCCAGGCCCGTGGTATCCCTAGCAGATTCCTCAACTTCCCTGATGAGAACCACTGGGTGCTCAAGCAGGAGAACAGCTTGGTGTGGCACACGGAGATTTTCAACTGGATCAACCACTGGTCCAAGGGTGAGCCTCTGAGCGACACTCCTATTGGTAACTAGGTGTGTTGCTAGTGGGATTGAGGAACAAGCAATTTGTGTGTCTTGTTACGTAGTATTGATAAATGTCTAATGAACATAATTTATGACAACAATCGGTTGGGCCAGAGTTGTGAATGATGATTTGAACTTGTGAAATTTGTTCGACTGCCTCATTTGCGGGCCAGTAGAGTAGGGAAATGATAGTCCAAGGGGTTCTACAGGATGATTAGTTGGCAGATATAAGCATTTGCTGAAGTGTATCGAGCGAATCAGTCTCAACAATTGTCATCTTATGTCCTATCAATATCAACACCGCCACCATGAATCCTACCTCAACAGCTGTACGCAAACGCCTTGGGCACATTAGATGCCTACTTACATGTTTTGTACATAATTACTCAAGTCCCTGTACAAAAAGCCTAATCGTTTACACCCCAAGTACACTTCCACTTCCACTCACACATGCATGCACAAGCACGTACGTACATACTACATGTCCCACGACCCCGGTGCCTGGATATCCCTCTCACACCCAACACGTGAGCCCTAAAAATAAAACAACAACACCCATGTATATCCGCGGCTTGCCTCAGGAACCCGCGCGCAACTTGTAGTAGAGCGGGCTAGCCCTTGGGTACCCGGTGGGTGGGGGGGGGGGGGGTTCTAGGCGGAGAGCTTGGCGCGGCGTGGCGTGGGCGGGATGGAAATGGGAGAGGGGATGCTGAGGTGAGAGGGAGGGAAGGCGGAGGTGGAGGAGCGGATAAGAAGTAAGTGGCTTTTTTTGGGGGGGGTGTTTAGGTATGTAGTCAGCTGTAGGGGTTGGAGGCAGTGAATAGAAGCGGATCGGATAGAGAGGGATTAAGGGAGAGATGGATGGTGGCAAGCAAGGCTGAAAAAGGTAGTATCTATATGTCTACGCCTATACTATATCGAACATGTCCTACTACACCTACACATCTATCAACACCGTTGGAAAAATCAGACACGCATGACTCGTATACCGCAGGCCATTCCTGGTCCTGATTGTCATGCTCATCGTGGACATGGGGCGATAGCAAAGACAGGATAAATCCTGCTTCCAGAATTCTTCTTTTGAGGGGTGGCGTCTGATAACAAGGCACATATACATATACATAACATACACATATGCCATGCATGCGGGAAAAGAGTGGGTGCGGTGCATCCGTGAGGAGACCCCCCCACTGGTTCGAGTGATAAGGACCTGGGTGGGTGGTCTTGATAATCGTGATCGCGATGCTGTGGTCCTGTTTCGCCACTGGGTATTCCTCTTCCCCCCTCACCCAATCTGGATTTGCCAAGTCAATCAGGCATGTGGGGGTATTGTGCTTATTGGAGAGGGGATGCTGGTGTTTATCACGCCAGGTTCTGTGACATGTGATCGTGTGGCCAGCAACGCCATGCTGTCTGTTCTGGGGGATCCATGCCAAGCATCGCGGAAAACAGCGGACATCGGCGTAGCGCGTCGAAATAACTTCCATACTTCGACATCAGTATGCGAGGCAAAGCTTCCGCCGATACATGAAGCCTCACGCGCCAGCCTCGTCGGCCGGCTTGTCCCTTTTTGGTCAAGCGAAGATAAGCTTGCGGAACGTGTCCGCCGCGCCGCACTCGACAACACCCCTCCTTGTCCTCTGCGGTTGGATGAAACGACGCACCCCGCACAACCATTGGTCGCACGCGGTCCGATAGAAAGCATCTGCATGCTCGCAGGCCTTCGAGCTGCCTGTTCCAGTATGGCCGAGTTACATTAGAGCGGTAGGATTAAGTGCACAAGCCTGGACGGACTGCCGTGGGTCGAGGCCAAAGATAACCGCCCAGCGGCGGGAAGGCTGGGCGCCATGGCTGCGCCGCGGCGACAGATTTTGCGCCCACGGCGTTGGCGTGTGGACGGTTGCCTCATTGCGCCGGCATTGGCGTCTGCTTCGACGCCAGGAAATTTCATATATTACCTGCTTTTCCTTTTGCCGGGCGAGTGCGGGTGAAGGCCTTCGCCATGACGATGACTTGTGGCGGCGATATGGTTTTACTTTCTTGGCGTCAGATGCACGGCAGCTTGAATGCCGTGGCATATCGTACACGACGGCCGTTCTGATAAGACAAAAGCTGGGGACTTCGAGGGCAAAGGGCGGGCGTGAATGGCCGGGCTATCTACCGTGCAGACGAGCGTGTGTGATCAGCAACAACGCCAAGTGCCGAAGCACTCCCTCCAAGTCGTCGCCTAGGCCGTTATATCCAGTTACCTTGGATGCTGGACCCAATCGAAGCGCTTGGATGCGGTGAAAAGCTTGAGTGTGTAGTTGACTTTCGGCGTTGCCCCGATTAGTCCAAATCACAAGATGCTGGGACGAGCGGCCAGCAAAGGCAAGCCTCTGGTGTTGGCGCCTCTTGACCGTGGTTGCGGGTGCCCACTAGCAACCAAGTAGGCCCGCCTGGTAATGTCGGGTGGAGGCGAGGCATCTCGACACCTGCTTGAAAGAGGAGCCGACAAGGAATACCAAGACGGCGCTTGGTATCTAGGGCCATTTGCCGCTCGTGTGTTACACATCAAGAGGCGGCTTCTTGCAAGTATAATTGAAACCGTCGCCCCGGTGCCCTTGCACAGACTGGCAGCACCAGCTCGCTCCTCTCATTCCCCTTGTTGGAACCCACGACAGCACTACTGCTAATCATGGCGGCACACGCTCCCTCCAACGCTATCGACATAGCAATGTCCCACGAGCCCGAGAAAGCTGCCATGCCCGTGTACGACGTCGACGAGAAGCGTGCGCTCTCGTCTACCGACAACGAGTACCACGGAGAAGTCTTCGAGGCTGATCTTGAAGGCGAGGAGCCCACCGAGGAGGAACTGAAGACGCTTCGTCGTGTCTCTGGAAAGATTCCCTGGACTGCTTTCACTGTTGCTTTTGTCGAGCTGTGCGAGCGTTTTGGCTACTATGGCTGTCAAGTGCTGTGTAAGTCAAACCACGTCGCATGTCTCGATCCATTACTGACTCTAGACAGACACCAACTTCATCCAGAGGCCCCTTCCCGTCATCGACGGCGTATTACAGACGACAGGTCGCAACCCCACTGCAGAAGGCAAACCTGGTGCGTTGGATATGGGCCAGCGTGCTTCATTTGGCATCGGTCAATTCAACTCCTTCTGGGCCTTCACGACCCCCATTATCGGTGCCATTATCGCGGACGAATACCTCGGTCGCTTTAACACCATCTTTATAGCCATTGCCTTCGCAATCGTGGGTCACATTCTGCTCATCATTTCGGCCATTCCAGCCGTCTTGACGAGCGGAAATGCCATCGGTCCATTCATCCTCGGTGTCATTACTCTTGGTTTTGGCACTGGAGCTTTCAAGGCCAACATTTCGCCCTTGATTGCAGAGCAGTACCGCCAGACCAAGCCTCGCGTTATCATCGACGCCAAGACGGGAGAGCGCGTTATTTCTGACCCCAACATTACCTTGTCCCGCATCTTTTTGTACTTTTACATGGTGAGTAATCGCTAGTATCATGGGCCTGAAGTCAGTCTCTAACAGAACGCAGTTTGTCAACATGGGTGCTCTCACCGGCCAAATCTCCATGGTCTACGTGGAAAAGTACATTGGATTCTGGTGCGCGTGGCTGCTCCCTACAATCATGTTCTGTCTCTGTCCCATTGTGCTTTGGGTGTGCCGCAAAAAGTACCACCACACCCCGCCCACGGGCTCCGTTCTCGTTCGCGCCCTCAAACTCATGAGTTTCGCCGCAAAGGGCAAGTGGTCGGCCAACCCCGTTACCACGCGCGAGAACTTCAAGGCGGACAACTTCTGGGAAGATGTCAAGCCCAGCCATCTCGGCAGCAACAAGCCAAAGTGGATGCAGTTTGACGATGCGTGGGTCGACCAGGTCGCACGTGGACTGAGGGCTTGCTCGTGCTTTACTTGGATTCCGCTGTACTGTAAGTTCACGCTCGCCTCTGTTTGCCTCGACTGTAAAACTAACAATGTCAACAGGGCTGTCGTACAACCAGATGAACAACAACCTCGTCTCCCAAGCTGCCACTATGACGCTGAACGGTGTACCCAACGACGTCATCACCAACCTGAACCCCATCTCTCTCGTCATCTTCATCCCGATTGTCGACAACTTCCTGTACCCCGCCCTGCGCAAGGCAAACATTCACTTTACGCCCATCAAGCGCATGGCCTTTGGCTTCATCCTCGGGTCCCTGGCCATGGTCTCTGCCGCCGTCATCCAGCACTACATCTACCAGGGCGGTCCCTGCGGCAAGTTCATGAACACGTGCGACAAGCCCTCTCCCATCAACGTATGGGTGCAAACCGTGCCCTACGTCCTGATTGGTTTCTCTGAAATCTTCACCTCGGTCACGGGTCTCGAATTCGCCTTTACAAAGGCCCCCAAGAACATGAGGTCGCTGGTTACGTCCTACTGGCACTTTATGTCTGCCTTTTCCAACGCCATTGGCCAGGCTTTCGTCTCGCTGTCCGAGGACCCGCTGCTCGTCTGGAACTACACTGCCGTTGCCATCTTGGCGTTTATCGGTGGTGTGCTGTTCTGGCTCCACCAGCGCAAGACGGACAAGCAGGAGGATGCTCTCAATATGCTGCCCGACTCCAACTACATTGGCAAGGACCGCAGGCACAGTGTTGCGGGTGCTGAAGAGGCTATTGCGGGTCACAACGTAGCGACGCATGCCAAGGCCTAGGTGCGTTGAGTAGTAATGACTGTTGAGTATCGTGGAGATGGCCATGGACATGTGCATGACTGTATGGCTTTTGTAGTAATCGTAGATACCAATTTCTTTGCAGCCGAGAAGCTCTGTGGGAAAAGTGTGTTCATATCGTAATACCTGTTGTCTGCGTGGTTTCGATGTGCTGACGGAGCCCATGTCACAACGTAGTAGACCGCTCATGTCGTGATATATCCGCAGTGTCGCTACTCTTCACGTGTCTCCAGCACGACTCGATTCAAGTGTCGCACAGTAGGTGTAAGTAGAAACACAAACATTCAGTCTGCGCGGCGATAAAAGGAGACCAGCATATCATATCATGGACGTAGCATCACGTCAACAAGCATCCATCAGCCTGAACTATACGCATCACAAGACGTCATCCAACAATTCAAAATGAGAATGTGCGTATAGCATGCATTCGATCCTTTTTATGCCGCAGCACTCAACTCTGCATCCCAGCACTCGTATTGTAAATACTACATGCAAGAAAAGGACGTTAGTATATCAACACCGCTTTTTTTTATAAAGCTGAAATTGGACGAAAGGGGGGAAAGAAAGGGAAGAGGGGGAGAAAGGGAGAAAGGGAGAAAGGGAGAAAGGGGGAAAGAAAGCAAGGGAAAGGGGGGGGATCGTACACAGCACGCGCTCTCGCCGTTCTTCACCTGCTCCACGCTACACGACGTACCGCACGTCTGGCTCCAATGCGCATTCTCACACGTAAACGATATATCCATGGGCCCGGGCTCAGAACAAACGTCGCACACTTGGCCCCCGGGCATGGGCGTCTCCTCCAGGTACAAGATCTCGGCGCAAACACACAGCGCAGATACGAGTGCCATGGTGAAGCACTGGAGGAGGAAGTGATGTTGCATTGTTTTTTTTTCTTTCTTTTTTTTTCGGTTTTTCGTTCCGGGATAACGATTGCTCTACGCTTTCCCCCTCCCCCCTTCCCCCTTCCCCGAGGATGCACGCGCGCTCGCTCCCACGCTAATTCCTGGAAAAGGAAATTCCGTGGGGGAACTAATGATGGCGGATTACAGTTACGGAGGGGGACGACGGGAAGTAGGGGGGCTGGACGGTGGGGGGTGTTGCGGGTAAGAGAAAAAAAAAACAAGTTTCAATTTTTTGTTTCTCCTTTTTTTCTTCTCCTTTTTTCTTTCTGATCAAGCTGCAAACGGTGAGATCTTAGGATGATAATGGCGCTGTGTTATTGTCGTGGAAGTTGCCGCTGGGACATGCTGTTTGGTGGTTGGGCGCAAAGAGAAGGGGGGGGGGAGGGGCAAGCGAAACGGCGAGTTAGGCGAAACGGCGAGTTGGGCGAAACGGCGAGCTGGGTAAAACGAACGGCGAGCTGGGGCGTGTGTGTGAGTGAGAAAGGACAGCGCTACTTATCATTTCATGCATGTTAAGCCTAGATTGATGACAGACGCTGCGGATAGGTACTAGCATCAAAGCAAGTATCGCCAACAACTCGCCCAGCAAAGCTCGTATGGAGCGTGCGGGTAGAGTATCCGGTACGTGTAGGCTATTCGACGTCGTGATGTGGTGGTCCGTTAGCCCGCATCCAAGTCAGGGGCCATCTATGGCTACTAATTATACTTATATTAAACAGCCATAACGAGACATCCATGGGCATGGGCTAGACAATAGTGCTGACTAAGAAGCTCTCTTGTGAGAAGCGTTTGCGTGCCGTGCGGGAAGCGTTGGGTGCACTCCAGACTCCGTTCTTTGAAAGGGTGGTCCAATGGCACATGATCGGAGACGGGTTATGGTTCGTGACCAAGGACGTGTAGACGGGAACGCTGTGCACGGGTCATAACGTTTTGGGGGATATCATAGTCTTAGGTAAGAAAACTTAATATATTTTGCGAAAGGGGGGTGGGGGGGGGGCTTTATCGTAGTCGTAAGCTGGGTTGACTTTTGAGGGGGTCCAGATGGCTTCCATTTGTCATGTTCTGGTATATCGCGTACTCTATAGACAGCAATGGGTTAGGGTGCGTGATCAATGCTCAACTCCTACCGCTGAGTCTAGATATGCCAAGGTAGCTTACATGGCAGGTGTATGCGGTACTAGTTCGCTAGTAGATTTCGTGATTCTTGTTATCCATGTTTCAGGATGTCCAAGTCGCATGGCTTTACATGGCACATCGACTCAAGAAACGCCTTGGAATCCGCCATGTCATACGTCATTCGGCATCAACAGTATAGCGGCTTGTGACCACGTGACCATGGTGACCAATCAGGAAATACTAATCCCCCAATGCAGACTTCTGTATACTAGTCCTTAAAGTAAAGCACACAATACAATACAATACAAACAACAACAACAGTTCTTCTCACTCAAACAGGTTCTCCAATATCTCAAACTCATCTTCACCGCTCACTTCGCCATGGATCTCTTCAATTACAGCCCGCTCCGACTATCGGTCACCTCGACTCTGCGCACTCACCGAATCACCATCTTTTCCCACACTTGCAACTGTGATCCCAGCACAAAGACGAAAAGCAGGCAGATGCAACAAAAGTCTTTTTTTCCCCTTCAATTGCAATCCTATCAAGTACCCACTCGCATACACACGCTTGTCTACCAATTCAAAAAGTCACCCCCACCACATCAGCACTGGCGGCACCAAGTCACGCGTCTCGGACGAAACCAGAAAGAAAGAAAGAAAGAAAGAAAGAGAAAGCGAGCAAGAACACAACGAAAGATTCAAAAATGAATACATCACCACCCGAAATCTGGACTGATCCTACATCCCCGCCAACATCTCCACTGAGATCCTCCTCGCCATCACCATCTCCCTCCCCAACATCCACCACGTCCTCTTCTTCCCACAACAACAACCACAAGACGGCACTAACGCAGCACCAACACACACTCGTCTCGACCTACCTGTATCACCGCGGGTACGAAACCTCGGCCATGAACACGATAGTCGAGCTAGAAATCAGTGTGCGGCGCGAGCGCGACGAGCCGGGCGTGGCGTGGCTGCGGCGCGAACTAGCGGGTGCGCAGCGCGTGTTGGCGGTGCATCGCGAGGGCAGGAGGAAGGGCGAGGGCAGGCTGAGGGTCGAAGTGGAGAGGTTGAGACGGGTGGGGCGCGAGACGGACGGGAGGGAGAGGGACGTGGTGGGGAGGCAGGTGGTGGAGATTGAGAGGGTCATGGGGAGGAGGAGGAGGGCGGGTGTGTGTTTGAGATAGGGATAGTATGAGGGGTGGTGTTGAGGTTGGGGAGAAGAACCGTTTTGGGCTGGACTGCATGTATTAGCGATGCTGTTTTTGCATCGGACTACTCTGCTATGATTATGGTAGCTCGTGTGATACATCGAATTGGTCTCTACCTCATGGGAATACAGCACATCTTCTTGGTCTCATCAGATCGTCAGACACCCTTTCGTGACATTAGACACAAGATTCATTCATTTTTGGCTTGGATACTCGACTAAATATACAAGGGGGTATAGAGAAGCATCAGGAAACAGTGGAGGGGAGTTATTTTTACACAGATTTGATACATTAAAAAAAAAGGCGCTCCGAGTAATTCGAGAGGGCGAATTAGGCAATGCAACCGTCTCCCTCGAACTGTGAAAGACTTTTGCTGCACTATTTAAAATACCATTAAGATATGAATCCATCGGACTCACGAGGAATGGTCTTGAAGATTCGGGCCGGTTTCTGACTCTGGCTGCGGCTCTTGGGCGTGAGGCTGCAAAATTTCGCCGCGGCACCATAGGCATATCGCCCGGCCCTTTGTTGACCCGCAACGGCAGTGCGCCACGTGGTCTGGATATGTTTTTGAAATGGTCGTTTCTTCGTTCTCATAACATCGTAAACAGAGCCATCGGTCGAGAAAACGACTGCGAAGGCTACAGCGACACCAATGGGGCGACAAATCGTCTTGGTGTTTCAGCAAATCGGATGGGAGATGGGCGTCGCAAAAACGGCGCTTTCTTCGTTCTGTGGTGTCGTATAATGCGCGAAGGACGGGTGATGGATGGGCTACATTGGAGACTGCCGACCCAGCAAAGGTATGCTTGCCAAGATCCAAGTCCAAGAACTCTTCAACGCACTCTGGCGGGCCAAAGTTTTCTTCATCAAAGGGGACATCAATGAAACCCTGATCGTGGTATGGCAAGGATCTACCTGGCGACGGAGCCTTCCATCGCGGGGTAGCAGCGTTGTCTGCTAGGTGGTGTGGGCTTAATATGGGGATTTCGGACGGCGAAAGAAGGACGAAGCCGCTGTAGTTTGGTAACTCGTCATCGTCGCATGGCTTCTCGAAGATGCTCTGGTAGACACAGTGGATGCGGCACTCGTCGCACGTCGTAACTTTGCAGTTTGCGCACGGACGCGACTTGGCGCAGCCATCTGTTGCGCCGCATTCGACGTATTCACTGCACTCGTATGCGTAGAAGAAGGTTGACTTGACGTGCCGCTGCTTGCGGATTTGAACGCCCTTTCCTGAGCACCTTAGTTTTCCAAGCAAGTTTTGCAGGCTGCCAGCCTGCGGGACCAAGGCCTCGTGTATGGACTTTGAGCACAGCAGTAGCGCCAGCAGATCGCCTGGGCAGAGACACGATACGATGTTCTCCAGGAGACCGTACTCGCGCAGAGCAACCAAGAGAAGACAAGACGGCGCTGGGCCTGCGGCACTGTCCTGGCGACTCTTTTTCCGCCTCTCGCACATTGGGGTGGGCGACCTCTGGCGCTTTAGTAGTCTGGAGTGCCTGGCCCTGTACAAGTCGCCATGCTGGGCCTCGCACGACGGCCTGGACTGATTCGCAGGCGTGTGGTGTTTTAGTGGTTGGGAAGTCATACCGGTCTTAAGGCTCCTGAAAAGAGATGAGCAGGGGTATATGCAGTGACAAGATGTAGTGTAAGGCCATGGCGAACTACCCGGTTCATGACAGCAGACGGGGCTATGGATCATAGACTGGGCAGCCGATGGTATCGTGAAACGCGTCTGGAAGCAACGTACTTCACTCTCACGTCAAAGCGTGTGTGCAGCGTCCCGCGCCCGTGATAAGCGCTTAAAAGCTGGTCAAATCCAGGCCTGGGTCCATTTTTCGTTGTCCAGCGTGCGTGTGTTGGCGGGCAGTGCAGGGAGGGAGGTATAGCAGAGGCGCTACTGTGGTAGAGGACGGCTGCGAGGAGTCAAGAGGGGTGCTTGGGCGTTTGAGGGGGGGGCGTTAGTAGTGGTTTCGAATCGAGAACGGTACGGCCAGTGTTGTTGTGGGGACAAAATTCGAAAAATCAAGGGACTGGAAAGTGTGCCGGGAACATGCGGAACGGCGTTCCGACGCGTTCCGATTGTCAAATCAGCTATCATGACATAACGGAGCCTCGGTCTCTCCTTCCCATTCGTCCGTTGAGGATTTTTTTGCCCACTCACCTTTTTGGCGAGGTTAGCCGTCCGGATCGGGTCGCTAGTGCCAGTCTCGCATCCCCACCATGCTCACGACCACGACCACGACCACGACCACGACCACGACAGCGCCCCAGAGCGACGACGTTGCCGACGCCGACTCAGCTTGCGCGCGAGAGAGTGTAGATATGTTTGAGCATGCAAGTGCACGAGTGCCGTCGCTTGGCTTCTCGGGAGACACGGGCCAGTCATTGGCAATCAGATCAAGGCACGTGTTGCAGAAAGAATAAATTTCAGCGACTAGTGGTACAGCCCCATAATTCGGATGCCCATGGATCTTTTGCTCTTTATCCACTTGGAGGGGACCGGCTTACAAGACGCTGCGGAACTGCTCGCAACGTCTTTTGCCAGTTTGGGCTCGGAGCATGTGCTATTTCTTGTCGTCGGGGATGGAGTAGCAGCATCCGATGTCGAGCACGTTGTAAAAGGTGCAATCGCGCTGCACCCAAAAGCCGCCTTTGTCGTAGCAGGTTGACTTGGTAGTGCAGATTCCGGAAGGGTCGGATCGCCCACAGGGTGCCGGGTAGGGGTCTTTCGGAGCACCCAGGACAAGGGTGGTGAGGGTGGTGAGGGCTGCGGTGAGGACGAGTGACTTCATGTTTGAGTCAATGTCTGGCTGTACCAGGTGAAGAGGATTGCTCTGTGTGCTGAATGGTAGAGCAGCGAAGATTGCTTCTGCCATCTGCTCACCTTGCAACAAGTCTGAGAAGACGGCTGTTTAAATAGCCAGCAACGTCGCTGGAGACGCCACTGACACGGTTCTTGCAGACAAGCTCATCTTTGTGCACTCGTAGTACAGGTCGAGCATCCAACGACATGGAGAGAGAGGCGGGAACCACGACACTCGGCGCTCGAGGGTGCAGAAGCGATATATTCAGACCAGCTCTGCCAACCAATACAGGGCCATTTCATGGGCTTGCCGCGACACCTTTCATATGGGTATTTTGGACCAGGGCCCCTTGGCGAGACGGATAATCTAGCTTCCCCAGATTCTCGTATCTCGCGAACCCACAGGCAGGCAGCACGCGCCCGCTATGAATTTTGCCATATTATTACGATGGTCGCATGGCTGCCAAGAGGGGTTGATTCAGAGCGAGGACATGACGTCGTGTAGCAGGCTGTGCGTGTCGCGCATGCATATGCCGCAGGGTCGTGCGCGCACCAAACATAGCAGCACGTCTGATGCCACGGCCGTTGGTGGACATGGTCGAGTGTGAGGTGAGCGCTTGGAGTTGTGGCGGCGCATTGGCCTCGTGGCAATGTCTAGAGGGCACCAGGGCAGCGACGAGTGGACGTGGGTGGAAACCAAAAAACATCATGTCGAAGATGCTCGTATGGCGCAGCGATACGGGTCTAGGCCGTGGTGGATAAGCGTATGTATAGGGTACAGTATACGGAGGTGCCTTTCAAAAGTATTGTCTGCCAAGAATAATCTAACCGAAGTGCGGCCGCCTTAGCCGAGGCTTGTCTCTCCCCTCTATGTACTCATTACCACCTTGTAGCTCAATTATCTTTTGAATATGTACAAGAATTCGCTCAATCCAAGCTTGGATCTTAAGTTGTGAGAGATCTCTCAAGCAGTTCTGCCAGACTCTAACTGCCTCAGCCCTTGACTGCGGAGCTCCTTTCTTTGTAGTCTCTCTTTTCATATAGAACCAGCATGGCTCAATGCAGTTACAGTCTGGCGAGTTTCCACACCAAAGTAGTCTCTCAACGTCGTACAGGCGATAGATCACACCCTGATAGTGGTGGGCGTGGCTAGGTGCCTTATCCTCCATTACGACAGTCCGAGGTCTATCTTGGAGGCACTCTTTAGCAAAAGGAATCAGCTTTGGAATTAGAACGCAGGCCTGATATCTCCACCAGTCTATACCACCTCCAGACTTACGCACCAGCTTACCTGTCTTCTCTGTCCATCTCCATTGAGGCTTCCTGCCACGCTTATTGCGTAGCCCTGTCCTTCTCATAGACTCTGACAGCTCCCATTCCTCTCGCTGTAGAGGCTCAAGCTCAGCGTTTAGCTGCTCAATCCGACGAGCAGCATCCTCTCTCTCTGCCTTCGTCTCCAGCTGGTAGATATGGCATGGACCTTTCTTGTCATACAAGAAGCAGCCCCAGAACATAAACTCAGAGTATCCCTTCCACCTCTCACGGATGCAGCTCTTGACTACCCTCTCGTCTGCCTTTCTCCAGACTCTATAGCCCCCACGTCGGTGGTTGATCACCACTGACGTCTCGTCTGTCCAGATGACATTCTTCCAGTCCTCTAACGTCCAGTCCTTATGCTCTAATGCCCACTTAAGACGAGCACTCCTCATCTCCTGTGTCAACCCAGGCTTCCTCGTTGGCTCGGTCTTCCTGTATCCTGCTGCTCTCAACACCCTCCAGACGGTAGAGGCAGAGATTTCGACTCCTTGGAGACTGAGCCCACCAGCAAGGTCAGCACAGCTCTTCTCTCGTCCATATCTATCGTGTCGTACTTGTTGCAATATCTGCTCCTTCACCTCTGCCTGCTTAGCAGGCCTACCAGGCTTTGGAGCATCCTGAACGTGGTGTGGAAGGATCTTAATAGGAAGGTCGTTTGGCTCAAAGCCTGCAGCAATAGCTCTACTATAGATACGATCTACAGTACGAGGATGAACGCCAGTTAGCGCAGAGACTTGTGAGGTATTCTTGCCACTAGGAGGTGATTTTAACGCGATTACTAAGGTACGGGTATATATATCAGTATAAGGAGCCATAGTCAAAGGATAACTACATAGTAGTAGGCAGACTGATCAGACAGCCCCTCAACTCTAAGGTGGGAGTTGCGCCAAGAAGAGTTGTGCCGAAGCGCCGAGATTAGCGTCAGACAATACTTTAGAAAGGCACCTCCGTAGCTGTGTCGCTGTCGGCCAGGCACTCCGATGACGGCGGCAGCAGCAGCGGCAGGGTGCGGGATTTAATGCTTAGCACGACTGATATAGGCTGCGGCAATTTCCAGCGACAAGACACGTCGGGGGGGTCGAGGAACTTGTAGGGAAAGATGACCGGCGCGTTATCGGCTCCATGTGCGCTGGGCTCGGGGGAGACGACGCATGGGCATGGCTGGGTGGCAGGCTGAGGGCGGAAGCTAGCAGCCCTGCTAGCATGGCGGGCGGGCAGTACGTCACCTGTACAGGCTGGGTATGGATGGAGATGGAGGTTGCCGTCCGCAAGTAGCCGCGCGGGGGCAGCGGTGGTGGCAGCGCAGAGAGGGCGGCCGGGGGGTGGAGAGAGGGCGGAGAGACGCGATGGGGGGCTGGTGGATTGCAGGCGGCGATCGCGTGCGCCAGAGGCAGAGGCAGAGGCAGAGGCACGGCGGGCGCGCGCTGCCAATGGCATGATATAAGCCGCCGCCCTGTGTGCAGCGACAGGCGGCTGGCGCCCGCGGACACGCGACGCTTTTCTTCCACAGAGCTTCTAGAAGGAAAGTTTTTCGGGCAGACACGCTGGCGCCGGCAGCCGCCGTTACTGCCCGCCGCTGATTGGCTGCGCCCCCAGCCCCCACCCGACAGGGGCCCGCGTGCGTGCTGCAGCTTCTCCACCTTTTGTTCTCTGCATCAGCCGCATGCTTCTGCCACGACCTCAGCCTTTGGGGTCCAGGTTGGCATCGCCCACATGAGGCAGCGGGGTCAGATAGGGCAGCTCGTTGACTGGGCTCCCCGTCTCACGGCTCGTCTCGCTGGCGCTCCGCGAGCCATGGTGGCTGGTCTTGCTGCGCTCCTGCAGGCGGCGGATGGCAGCTTCGGTGGTGCGGCGGGGGCCCTTGGGCCCGCTCTTTCCATGGGTTTTGAGATAGGTGCAGTCCCACTTGGCAGCCTCGCACCTGGCGCAGGGCTGGTTGCCGTCGCAGCGGACTTTTCCTGCGGCGCGCGAGAGCAGAGGGTCAGTTGTGCGAGTGTTTGCGGGTGAAGCGGTGCTGCGACGTACTGACAGAACAAGGGTCACATGCCCGTCGCGTGCCCTTCCGCGGAGCCATGGCCATTTTTCTCGGGCCAAGGTTCTAGCCGGATCGGAGGGACTATGGTCGGGAGACGTCGACGACAGTCAGGTGGGCATAGCGGAGGCGACTGGAGCAGGCAGGTGGGTGGGTGGCGCGGTGGCAGCAGCAGCAGCAGGCGCAGGCGCAGGCGGGCTGGGAGGTTTGTCGGAAGCTGGAGGGAGGGGCGGGCAGAGGGCAGCAGCGACAACAGCATAGCCGTGGTGCTATGAAGTGGCCCGATATCGTGAGCCCGACCCTCTCCGCCATCCACCAAGAGCCCCAGAGACTCCCCCTAGCATGTCTCTCGCAGTATCTCGAAATCTACCAGGTCCGCGGATACGGCATCTGGCCAGTGATCGATGTCCAAGTCCTCACTGCGCGCCTCATCACGCACCCCCACGACCTGGAAGCATATGCACTAGCCACCTCCATATGTGCCGCCATCGTCAGCCAGTTCTCCATTGACGTTGAGCCCGGAAGTCCAGTCGAAGGCCATTACCGCGTCTCCAGCAACGCATTCGAATTAGAGGCCAAAAAAGCAAGGAACGAATCCGACCACCTGGAAAACGTCACCATGTACTCTCTGCTAAGCAGCTTCTTCCTGCATGTGTACTCGGCCAACGTCGGCCGCATGAATGCCTCGACGGTTTTGCTCGGAGAGGCCATCTTCAAAGCCCATATTCTGGGCTTACATAAACCAACCCACTACCAGCACCTGGACGTGGAGCAGACACAGGCTGCTTTGAGGGTCTACTGGCTCCTCTTCATCACGGAGCGAGCCCATTCCCTGCAGCACGATGTTCCGACGACACTGAAGCGCTCACCCGATCTGCCAAGACTCGAGGATTTGCATGACGGATCCGTCACACCTGCCTTTGTCCAGCTTTGCCGACTATTCAACATTCTCGATGTCACCATCACGGCCGATCCTGCAAGCGCGCGCCGAGCGCTGGCTTCCGCCCAGCAGCAGCTCAGCTGCGACGAAGACCCCCGCAGTCTCGAAAACGAACTCCAGCGCGCAGACATCTCCATGACGCAGCAATGGATGCGTATTTTCCTATGGCAACACGCGCTCAATGTCACCAACTTGAGCAGTCGAGCAAGCCAAGATGAAGAATTCTCGTTTCGCTTCCCTGCCAAAATCGCTCAAAACGTGCTCAACAATCTAAGCAGTCTTTCGCGCCAAAGTGTTGAGGCTCACGGGCCTGGCATGGTGGGAGCCCACTACCTGTTAGGACGACGAACCTACTGACCTCTGCAACAGGAGTCCAAGCTGTTTGATGTAGCCAACTCGCTTGCCGATGTCATGATGATCATGCCGTCACTAAACCACGAGACGCATTTCGATATTGGCCCTAGAGATCTCATCCATTCTCTCGCTCAGGTGCTCGCTGGCTTCCGTGGCGGTAATCCTGCCGTCATGAGCATACTACAGGATAAACTTACCACCCTTGGACTTGGTGTTGGATCGCCACAGAGGTTACTCGAGCTTTCATCGCCCGAAGAAGACCAAGACGAGTTCCCAAGTGTACCCCTCTCAGCCTCGCCAGCCTATGTACCATCGGTATGCGACCCTCCGTTGATGTCTCCTCTTCCACCCGCTATGAACATGTATGGAGGATATTGAGCTACTTCTTGCCCAAGACGTGTGCCCGTGCCCACCAAGCATCACGCGGACTGCAAACAAGACAACGCACCCAAGACTACACGCTAGTTGGTTTGGTTCTCATCCCATCATCTTTAGGTCTTAGTCAGCAAGGCCTCCCCTGACTTGGCCGAATCGGACCGAGCCAAAATTCCGAGTCTATTCGCGGCAATTTCAAGACCTAAAAATGGACTGACCGGTAGTCGAAGAGAAAGTGGTACCCAAGCTTCAAACCTAGACATCCACGTGGAACACTAGCCCATACCAATTGCTGGATTGCTGATCAAAGCCACTAGCTGGTGCTGCTACAGTGCCTCTTTTGGTGGGAATTAATTCAATCCCCAGGCTTTACCGCAGGCATGGTTGCGAAGTAGGCCTTGGGACAGACAAGGAAACTAACTGTCACGCTTAAGCAACTCTTATGCTCGTCCTACAGCTGACGCAAGGGCCTGAGATCTTGTCTGTAAATGCCACTGGGTAGCTCGTATCTCGCTAACACGTCTCGGGCACGGTCAACTTGGCGAATGATTCAAGGGACTGATCGTTACGCAAGCACCGGTTACTCAGACATGCAGCCCCCCCATGTGAAGTCGAAGATTCCCTCTGCCACCAGAGACTGACAAGGAGATTCTGTTAATCATAAAAACAGTCTTCGTATAAGGTCTTCTTACCTAGCGTGTTATCGCTTCAACAAAGCGGCATGTGCAGAGTATCTGGGTATCTTAGAACAAAGCATAGTGTATGTTGTTGAGTTGTTCAATCATGAAAGAGACAACGAGAGGAGAGTAGGACTGCTACATTCTACGAAGGATCCTGGCCTAGCTAGGCCACGACGACTTCCTAGAAAGCGACACAGTGTTGAAGAAAGCAACACTGCTAGTGACAGAAGAAGAAGAAGAAGAAGAAGAAGCGCAACAAATGGCAAAGTGAATAAACGGTATCAATCGCGGTATGCCTCAACGCACTACCAATGAATTGAATATGGACGTATCTTTTTCGTTTTGTTTTTGTAAATGGACATGACTCTTCACGATATTCATACACGACATAATGGCTCTTAGCTCTACTATAAGGAAAATTAACAATACAAACTTATCAACCCTCCTTTTTTTTTCTTCCTCCCACCCTTCTTCTGGCCTCCCATGATCTCACTCTCACTTGTCTCCCTTGCTCAATTTCAATCTCAGCAATGACGCATTTGACGTTTTCCGAATCCAAAATAAAAACTAGCATGGTATAAGTTCTGCAGCCTAGTTACAATCATTTTACTTTGAGTTTTCTTCCAAGTATCCATCTATCCACCTTTCTTTCTTCCTGTTCATTTTTTCTCTCCCCAGCATTTACCAACTCGCAAAAAGCAATGTCAAGTATCACGCGGTGCTAGCATGAACCGGAGAAGAAAGAGGTGGGCGGAAATAAGTAGCAGATTGATACCCAGTCATCGAATGAAATACCGTCTCTTTATCTCGATATATAGGCTGTGCCTTCTTTTTCTTTTTTCGAGGGGTACATTGTGTCGCAGGTAGAACAGGGCTGCTGGCGTATTACCCGACGCGGCTTGATGATGATATCAGGGTATACCGCGCCACACGCGTTTCGGGTTTGAAAGGTAAAAGGTCCGTGGAAAGGTTTTAGATGCATCGCAGGTTAGTGATTGAGTGAGAGCTGTAGCGAGGACGCGGATCTACATGTCAGCATGCTGAAGGGCTGGGTCGCTTCCATATATGCGGTGGAGATGCCGAGATGCGTCTTGCTTAGCTCAAGGTAAAAGTCTTCTTTTACTTTCACCTTTTTCTCGATTCTCGCTGTGATGTTGCTGCCTAGGCTAGCCTGGACTTTCGTTTGCTGCGCTTGGCCATGTCCAGTGGGACTGCGTATGGGAGAAATGAGTCGGACGCTTGCGACGGATATATGAATTTTATGACTAGTCAGTATACAAGCTTTACTTCGTGATGTTGGGTGTGTAATTATCATGTACCTCTTCTAATAGTCGTTGGTCATCTCGGTCCATAACATGGAACGATATATGCATGAGTGAAAGGTCCATTGTTAGCCACAGTAGTCCAGGTCCGGGTCGTACTATTATGTGGCGCAATACCGCGTCCCAAGCGACTATTTTCCGTTGAGCGTTCGCATTCACCGTGGCGCTTGGTCTCATTTCCCACAAAACCTTGCTGCACACTTGTTTTTGTGTAATTTTTTTATTTTTGACCCCAAACACACTGCGCTTCAGTCAGTGCTAACCACTTCAACCAACTTTCAATCACTGCGCCCTCCGAAAGAAACTGCAATGGCGTTCCCGCCGCTTGGATCGGGCCCCAGAGTCATGCGTGATCTCCTCGCGCGTGGCGACAAAGACAGAGTACCCACCGAGCTCAAGGAAGCGCTCTCGCTGCTGAAGCTGTCAGGCTTGGACGCACTCGAAGAGCGCTTCCTCGCTACCGATGCCTTTCTCCGACCTTGGGCGATATTCCGCGATTCCATCTGGGTGATGAAGCCGGATGCAATGCCACGCCGGACCGTGATAGCAACCAGCGACGGCGATGCAGGTATCTCGCGCACGGACATACTGTGGTTCTACACACAGTTCGATGAAGATATTCGCCGCCACGATCCTGGAGCGGATGAATACGTTGAAGACCACGCAACAAAAGGTCTCGACCGTGGCATCATCGATAAGCAAGGTTGGGGTATTGACGATTATGAGAAGCACCTGTTTGTGTGGCTGCTGCAAACCTTCAAGGTTGGAAAGAAGCACAACCCATGGGGCTTTGACTTCTTCCAGCTGCGCAACGTCTGTACCGCATGGCAGGCAGTATTCGTGCCTATAATCAATGCAGTTCGCGCCTCTTACAGTGTCATGGGTCGACGACACTATGGGCGCCTTGCGCTCTTCATTGAAGATAGATGCCCTTCTGGTCTGGCATTTCCCAAGGAAAACGTCAGCACTCTCCAGGACCGCCTAATGTCGCCAACTCCTTACCGCGTCGTGTCTATACCAAAAGCCAGTGCAACGAGTAGCGTACCGCCGCGCAATCCCCCCAAAGAGGTTGGTATACTGACACGGAAGCACTACGATGAGACTGAGAAGGAACTTCGCCACGTCTACCCCCAGTATGGAGGCTTGGTCGAACGTCCGAGATTCAAGCACAAGATGGAGGAATGGTTGGAGGAACAGCGAGCACGAGCGAATCTCAGGAAAGCGGCTGAGCAGACGGGCGAAGCCGAGGCCTCTCGACGTCAGCTGATGAAGATGGACCCCAGAAGGCAAAGCAAGGGTCACAGCAAAGATGGTGGTGCCAGCCCTATCAAACGCTATTCAGACAGCGTCCGACGCTCGCTATCACGTAGTAAGCAGGCGCTGATTGAGGAGCCGAAGAGTCCGCTGCATGGAGTAACGCGTGAACTCCAAATACCTGGCGATCAGCTGCCGATTCCGCCACACCAACACATCCGAACAGTCGGAGATCAGGCGACCCATGCTTCGTTACAATCGTCGGGGACGTCCGTCATCACACCTTGGCCCCGCCCTGATACAGAGCGCAAATCGTCGGAACCAAGCGTCTACGGCTCAGTACGCAAATCCAATCCATTTAATCTTTCCGATGGCCTGGAGAACTTGCAGACACCAGCTGCCACCAATGGATCCGTGTCATCGTCCAAGAATCAGCCGAGTGCGACTCCGCTGCCACAACGACATGGCAAGGATGAGCGGCAGGATGTATGGACATCATCGATAAGCAAGCAGGAGCCGTATGGGGAGCCACGTATCCCAAGCTACAGGGTTAGTGGATGCGATGATGAAATAACATCGACGAAGCTGGAAATGGTAAGAGAAAATACTGGTCGGACACCTGAGCCGAGGCGGCCCGCCAAACCACCCACACGTCTACCAGGGCCAATCAAACCAGCTCCGTATACTGGCCGTCTGCGGGTCGCTTCAGAGAATAGCAGCCGTGAGGTACCATCTCTGGCTTTTGGAAAGTCCGGTACAGCTCTTCCGCAGCCAGTTGCGTGGCCGGGTACCTCTCCGGACAGTGCATCATTATTGTCTGCAGCGAGTGAGCAGAACGACTTGGTGCCACCTGTCCCAACGAAAAGCCCCAGGAGAAAGGGTAGCATCCAAGGCTATATCGACAGTTCTCAATCGCAACAGGAGCCACAAAACGGATCTGTTCGTAGCATGGCGCGCATAGTGTCGAAAGAAAACATACGTTCCGCACTCAATGGAGATTCGCTGAATAGCTCAGCAGATGTATCACTGCCACAAACCATGCCCGTGGACCAGAACCAGGATGTAGCAATGAATCCAGCAGGAACTAAGCTACAAGCGTATAATAAGAATCTGTTCCCGCGTAGGGATGAGCGAAAGGGTACACCAGTTGGAGGATGGGTCGGCGCGCCTCGAGGCGGAAACACAACTGCGGGGTCACATTAGTTGGGGATATTACGGGAGGCGAAGAGGAATGAAGAAGCGCGAGGTATGGTCGCATAGGATGACTTACCGAGGGTACCGGGGGTACTGACCAGGACGCTAAGAACCCGGACTATGGTGGTGGTTGTAGCTTTGAGGAATGGGCCCAAGCTGCCATTGTGAGGAGACACTCACTGGCATAGCTCAGAGATGTTTGCAAGTATTGGAACCCGTGCGTACAGTGCGTCGGCGTCTCCATGGTAATTCCTTCATGCTCGCAATTATGCGAAGGATATTACCATCGGAAATTTTGCATTCAAGTGGTTGAACAACAGGTGGCGCGCACAGTTAGCGACACACCACGAGCTTTGGGCAATCAGAGGGGTTTGGTGTATTGCAGTGTCATAATGGATAAGAAAAATACAATGCTGCTCGACTTAGTCATGTGTGGATGGGGAGAAGGAGAAAGAGAGGTTGCGGACGGGACAGTGTGACGCTAGCTCAGCCCGGGTGGGGTAAGTAGCGCTGGATCAACGTCATCGATCAATGAAACATCACAATTGCTGACAGCAAACGTAGGAAGTCGTCGCTATTTTCAGATGAGAACACCAAACATTCATGCAAGCCCCCGGCCCTCGGCTTCATGTTGTGATTGCACGTCGTGCTCGTTCAAGCTGCCCTGACTATCCAGCCCCTATCTTTGGACAACACCAGGGACGGCCATCGCAGCATGGGCATGGGCCAGCCGGAGAACCTGGGCATCTCTCAACACAAAAGAACCATGCGCATGCCTCGCATTGCATGATGGAGGTAAGCGAAGCGTAGAATACTAAATTACTGACGGAAGGTTGAAAACAGGCTCTTCCCTGTGCGACAAATGCTCGACACAGAGGTCGCCTTTTCCGTCTGATTCGAAAAACGCACCCACCTGTTTGTGCTTTTTGGCCATGTCTAAGAAGAGTGTTTCGTATACAAACTTGGCGCGGCAATTCCCCCTTGATTGGCGACGAGCCGGAAACAATGCTCGTGCTCGGGTGTTTGAAATGACAACACCTCGTTCTTGGGCGCAAGAGCAGGCTGCCATTGAACCTGGTAGGGGGAGGCCAGGCACCTCGGATAAGGAAACATACTTGGGACCTGTATGGCGGCCGTATTCATTTGGCTGTAAACCGCAACGTCAAAAGCTCGCCTCTCGTGCCATGAGAACCCAAGGCGCAAGATGTACGGTTTCAGCGCATCCACTTAGCGTGTGTGGCTACAGTAAGACGCAGGGGTTTTTCTTCTGGCCAAAGTGTGGTACCGCCATTGAAGGTATCACAAGGCCTGGGACCGTAGACGGCCACGCAGCATCTCGGTGTGCTACCAAGCTCGTCATCGGTATTCCTTCGTGTCTGAGCTCGCGTGGTTGCCAAGGATGCCCGACATCAGACGCACAGAGTTCCGGGATGATACACGCAGCACTCTCCAAATATCTGCTCCCACGGGACGGAAACCCAAGCATATGCGTCAGCATCACAAGGGACAGATAATCAAGGCCGACTCATGAACGGAATAAGAGCAACAGACGGTTTCCGGCCGTGTGCCCAAGGTATAAGGGACGCTTTGCCTCGCCCGCACCTGCACGCACCGGAAGTGGGGGTTGGATTCACTATTCCTCATTCGGCTACACGCAGGATGCAGTACCGTCATTGATCTCACACTGACCTATACGCATCGTCAACATTCCTCTGTGCCCCGGACCTGCGGTACAACAGCGGCTGCAGTCTCCTGTCAAACTAGATTAAGCGGGGCAGGAACCGCGCCTCTTCATTTCGAGCATTATTTGGGTGGCCCAGCCCCCCGAGCAAGCCCAGTTCAATCAAACCTCATACAAGCAACATGGGGAACTATTTCTCCTCCCGGGACAAGGACGAGTGGAAGAGCGACGTGCCACACGCGACGCAGACGGGCACGTTTTGTGTGGTATGTGGCGGCCCATTCGACCTCGAAGGCGAGGTTTCCAACATGGACCCTAAAGACCCAAAATTCGAGGTACGCTGTTCTCCCTTTGAAAATATTGCTTTTTTGAGCGATCGACTGATCAGTTTCAAGTGGCTCTATCACCTTCGTCTCGTTGGTAGAGTCGAAGACGTTGAACACCATGTAGTAGCAAGTACAGGATACTCGTGAGTACTCGTCTGCTGACGCCATATAATTGACTAAGTCATCAAACAGACTGAACAACCTATCCGACCTACCAGAAGTCTTTCTCTCGGAGCCTGCTTCCTTCAGGCTCACTGGGTCTGGATACTTCCACATTGGCGGACCGAATGGGCAAGATGACGTCTGGGTCGACGCGCTTTATTATGCACCCGACCATGGCACCTTGTTTCCGTTGCACGATGTCTGCTTAGCAACAAGCTGCAGAGCTATAGAGCATCATCAGTCTAGAAAAGAGGATTACAATAGAAAACCTGCTCTGGAAATATTGGCTGGTTTACTAAGTACTAGCTTCATACAACGACAGCAGCAGGATGGATCAGATGGTACAGTGAAAGATATTTTCCACCTTTCTACTTCCTGTAGCACATATGGTCCCAGGAGCGTTCTTGCTTTGAGCGGGCTAGATCATTGGGATGGCGGCTATGAAGTAAGTTCCAGTACCTTGTGCCCCGAGCATACAAGTAACACCCCGCAGAAGTTTTACACAAATCCAATCGAGCAGGCTGATACCAATGCTTTCGTGCAAAGAATCCTAGAAAGCTCGCCGCGCACCAAAAGCGAGTCCAAATTCGTCCAGATACCATCCCGCACACATCGGGAAATCGAATGTCTCCCGAAAGAGCTTCTGGATGTCGTCTGCAGCTACCTGCCGGTCCCATCAGTCATAGCATTACACCAAACTTCCAAACTGCTCGCATTGCAGATCCCGCTTGATGCAAATTTCTGGCAGAACACTCTTGGTGATGGAAGTCTGCATCCACATATCTGGGATCTGGATACGAAGTGTATCGAGAAACAATTACCACGACCAGAGGTGACGCCTTTCGATCCCATGACTGCTTGGGATTGGAGGAGTGTGGCCAAGCTTCTCGCAACGAAGCACTTCCCAATAAATGGGTGTGACGACCGCTTGGTCGACATGCCCGACGGCTTCTGGAATCGATGCAGGATTTGGGCCATTGTTGAGGAAGTATTACGGGAAGGTGTTTTCGGATGAGTAGAAGAAACTCCAACCATACAGATGACAGTGATTTCTACTTACTGCCGTTCTTGACGAACAAAAGCATTCGGTACATGTAGACGCTTCATGCATATCCATGTGTTCATATAAGGATCTCAACATTCCCAATGCACAAGTCGATTCGTGTATCAGAAGCTTCGAGGCATATTCAGTCTTCAGTTTATAATTCTCGGCCATGGCACCCAGCAACCTGCTACGCACTCAGAGCCTACGAATCCATGCGCCTTTACTGCTCTACCATGGCCGCCACGAATCTCATCCAGCTGGTGCCGAACTTCTCGTAGAACTCGCAAGTTGCACTGGTCACGAAGAGATACTCTGCACGCGTGCGCAGCGCCTTTGTCAGAGGTTCCACCTCGGCTTCCGGGACGGAATGCACCATGTACGCGGTCCGCGAACGATCGTACGGCGACGTCGCTAGCCAATCACGATATTCCTTCGACATGAAGTGCTCATACGACGTCTCCACAATCACAGTGATATCTGGTCCTGGTGCAGCCAGTCCAGCGTTCACAGCTGTACCAGGATTATGAATGACCTGTACCACCATGAGCGCAACTACACTTGCATCATTTTGCGTCAACGTACCATTCTTTTACCGGAGAAACCAGCGCTCTGGACCTTGTCATCGATCCCGTCCAGATACTTCTTCGCTTCCGCTGAGAATAGATTCACCGTTTCATCGACAAATACGCCATCGACTTTCATCCGCTCGTCGTTTCGGCCGCGCTCGGCATAGGTCTCAATGTCTCCGCAGATGTCTCCATGAGGCCGCTTACAGTACGTCGCTCGCACATAACCAAGCGTGGTAACATTCGGCAGCGCATTTAGCCTCGGTATTTCTCGGACGTAGTCTTCGTTAGGCCACCACGGTGCGCTTCCGGGTCCACTGTTGGGATTGATTATAACCAAAAACTCAAGTTGAGGGTGTTGCGAGACGCTGGGAGAATGTTAGTGGCGTCGGGAGAGTCCGAGTAGGGAATGAATGGGAAGAGAGTACGCTGTATAAAGAGGCTCCCAAGCACCCGGATTCGGGTATATGTACAACGGAAGGAGAATTTTAGATTGGGGAAGCGGCGGCATTTTTAGATGAAAGATGTAGTTGGTGCGGGGAGCATCGAGTGTGGGCTCTTCTCAGAAACCACTTATGCGCTGACTAATGGCGTGCAGCCGTGGAGCCGATGTAAGCATAGCGTCGGTTGTTGCTATTCCAAAATAAAGCCATTTCATAGCAATAACGACACATCTTCGTCCAGGTCATTTTGTTTGGCCAAAAGATATGAGAGTCGGAGAAAAAGTGTGAGGCGCATGTAGTGCATCCACCATCATACAGCCCATGACAAGCTGAAGATGATCACAAGAAAATGTAGTGGTTCGACATGCGGCGATATCAATTTATATGTCCTTTAAGAAGAGAAGGAAGCGGAGATAATGGTTGTGATCTGAACTGGCACACAAAGTGCTCTTAAGTCCTTGGACTGCTCCGCCGAAGTTGCTCGGCGGAGCAGTCCAGCCTCATCTCACGTCCACCGCTTGTCCTCCGAACTCCAGTCGCCCCCTATCCAGCGAATCGGAAACATATAAGCACAGCTGCAAGGTAAGAGGTACATTCCAAAGGCATATATGAATACCTCTCGTCTGCATTCTCGGCTCTCCACTGCGCTTCAGCATTCATCTCAAACTTGTCTCCATCAGCATTTGCAGACTCAATTCTCAGTCCCCAACGGTATCGAACTTTGAAATGTTTGACAAAAAGACCGACAGCAAAGCTGCTTCTGATGCAGTGCCGCAGTCTGAGAGTGGTACTACAACGCCAGATCTAGTTGCTGATGAAAAGGCACCCGTCAAGCAGGACGCAGACCCGGACGTCACAGAAGAGGCTGAGATTGACAAAGAGGATGCAGCCGGCACTGCAGAAGAAGAGTATCAGACTGGACTGCCATTGGCGCTGGTCATGGTATCGGTCCTACTTACTGTCTGTCTAACATCTCTCGACATGACTATTGTCGGGACGGCCATTCCCAAGATCACTGATGAGTTTCACGGTCTCAACATGGTGTCGTGGGTGAGTTTTTCTTCCAGAAACCTATTCCTTCCCCTTATCATTTCCCTCGATTTCCACAAAGCCATTCTTGCTAATAATCGTTCTTAGTACGGCTCCGCGTACTTTATGACATTTGGCGGTTTCCAACCCGCGTCCGGCAAATTCTATCGCTATTTCCCGATCAAATGGTCTTTTCTCGGAGCACTATTCATATTCGAGCTCGGAAGCCTGATTTGCGGTGTTGCGCAAAACTCGACTACGTTTGTCGTGGGGAGAGCGATAGCGGGTCTTGGTGCGTCGGCGGTGGTGACGGGTGCAATGACTATCGCTGCTTTGGCTGCTGAGCCTGCGCAACGGCCCGTACTCATGGGTCTTGTTGGCACAATCTATGGGCTTTCTAGTGTTATCGGGCCTCTGCTTGGTGGCGTCTTCGCGGATGAAGCATCATGGCGATGGTGGTGAGTAAAGCAAGCCTCTTGACATGTATTTAGGCTAGTCGACTAACGAGCCAAAACAGCTTTTACATCAACCTTCCTATCGGCGGCGCTGCCGCAGTACTTATATTCTTTTCATTGAAGATGCCGTCAACTGCGACTGTAGAGGCAACTTTGAAAGAAAAGTTCCTGCAGATGGATCCAGTTGGTGTCTCACTCGTCATGGGCGGCATCGTCACATTCATCCTGGCTCTGGAAGCTGGCGGTCAAAAGCATCCCTGGGACAGCAGCATGGTCATTGGCCTCCTCGTTGGCTTCGTTGCGATACTAGTAGCCTTTGTCGCATGGGAAATCTTTAACGGCGAGCGTTCGATGATCCCGCCCCGACTCTTCCGTGAACGAACTATCTGGCAGCCAGCAGGCTTCATATTCTTCTATGGAGCAGGATATATCGTACTGCTGTACTATCTTCCGATATACTTCCAAAGTATCGACAACCGCAGCGCAATCAACTCTGGAGTACTCAATCTGCCACTGGTTCTGTCGCTGGCACTCGGAAGCACAGTCAGTGGAATTGTAGTCTCCAAGACTGGCCTCGCTGCACCTTTCATGGTCGGCGGCGCAGTGATGGCGACTGTAAGCACCGGCCTGCTCTATACGTTCGACATTGGTACAGGAGTCGACAAGTGGATAGGATACCAGATTTTGTACGGTGGTTCGGTTGGCCTAGGCTTCCAAATGGGAATCAACACCGCCCAGGCTAATCTGAAGACTGTGGACATGTCTTCTGGCACAGGTGTTATTTTCTGTAAGTTGGGAAAGCACCTGTTTCAATCTACAATGCTAATGCAGTGCCGCAGTTTTCCAGACCATCGGTGGCGCCCTGTCTCTTTCTGCAGCCCAATCAGGGTTCGCGAACCGTCTGATCAATGTGCTTGCCCGGACTGCGCCAGATGTCAACCCAGGGGCCGTAATTGGCACTGGGGCCACGCGGATAAGAGTTTCATTTAATGCCCAACAAGTCCCTGGGATTATTGAAGCATATATGGCGGGTATCAAGGTCACTCTGGCACTTGCAACTGCTTTGACTGGGATATCAGCCTTGTTTTCACTACTGGTACAGTGGAAGCGGCTTAATCTAGGCAAACTACAAGGCGGTGTTGCCTAGTGCTAGGCTGTCAATTGCTTATCATAGCGGGAATGCATCACGGGATATTATCACTGGAGGTTATGGCGGCAGATCTGCGTAGACATAGACTGTACAATCTACTACTATCATCAAGATATCCACTACATTGGGCGTTTCATCTCAAATTTCCTAACGCTTACGCAGCTTTGGAGTGACTCACTTGACTCTCAGCTGACATCTTTTCTTGTGACGTGGCACCCGTATCGTTGTGTGATATCTACAGCCATTGTCAACAGAATACGCCAAGTAATTGGGCATTGAATGAGGGCTTCTAAACAGAATATGATTGCACCAGAGCATACCGCTTCTGCTAGACACCTGTATCAATTACATAGCTGGCGTTGACTAGATGCATTACGCCCGGACTAGTCTGTCATCTTCGCAGCATAAGCTCAAAAACAGTAAAATTTGAAACGGCGAGTGCGAGCCTTCGAATTAACTTCACGACTGACATTTGCTAGATACACAATGCTTCGGTGCATCTGTAATCATTGCAGCAGCGACTCAGAAGGAGTCATCATAAAAAGGCGTACCTTAGATCTGACCGGTTATTTCCGTTGACGCTCGGACTTTAGCGATTTTGCTTCCACCGAAGTTCGTTCGGAGGTGTGATCTTGGCGATGACAAAGATGTGGCTGGCCTTGTTTGCCAGCACTACCTATGATTTCTCATTCAGTTCGAACTTGGCCATCTTATCCGCCGAATATTACGCCGTACGGTTCTCGCATCGTAATAGCTCGGTATGCTAACTTGAGCTTACTTACCCGATTACACCGGAGAAATCTACGGAGTACATACTAGTACCACGTTACACTGCATTCGGCTAGTCGAAAAAGTGGGGCACAACCCTCCAACGGCCCCTACTCCGCGCTTATGGAGACATCTCGTCATCATGCTGAGGAGGCAAATCTCTTCGAATATGGCACCAAGCGGCGCAAGATTCGCAAGGGCACGACAAGCTGCTGGACCTGCAAGAAGCGAAAGGTGAAGTGCATATTCACTGGATCAGACGCAGTTTGCGAAGCCTGTCGGCGCCGGGACACGCCATGTGTTCTCCAGGACGAGCCAGAAGAGAGCATCTACGATCGAAGGAACACGTTCAATCAAGCCAACTCGTTGCACCACCTGTCGCGTGAGCAGCTTGTGGAGCGTCTGCAGAGAGCAGAATATCTGCTTGCACGATCAGAGAATTTGGCATTTAGCGATGGACAGCTTCCGACCCCTTCTCCGGCAGCGCCAACCCCTGAACAGACGGTGTTTGTTGCAGATAACGAGAGTATCTCACATTCCCTACGTCAGGCATTTCCTCTGCAACACGACATCGATATCGTGTGCGGCTCAGATCGCATTCCGACCTTGTTCTGCTACCATTACCTTATGGGCTCCAGAGACGGCTCAGAGTACGATGCACGTGCTTTCGCGGATGAGTTGGCCACGATTCCCGACCCTACTACAACACCTCCCATCCTAATGGCCAAGCAAATGCTCCTTCTTGCTCTGATGTTTCAGTATCTTCACTGTAGCCAAACCGAGCGCTTATCAGAGCACCCCATGGTCATTACCAATCGCCTGGTGGAGAGTGTTGTCCAGTTGGTCACAAGCAACGATCGCCTTGTGGGCTGTATTGAGGGTGTGGAATGTATTGCCAGTGAGGCGTTGTTTCAATCCAACTGCGGCAACCTTCGTCGAGCCTGGATAGGTTTCAGAAGGGCCATGGTATTCGCTCAGCTGATGAAGCTGGATTTACCCGATCCTCCACCAGTCAAGTACATCGATGCAAAGCGCAGGGTGGATCCTAAATATCTCTGGCTGCGTATCGTCCACAGTGATAGTTATCTCAGTCTGATGCTAGGTCTAGCACACGGAGGCCAAGCATCCACACTGCAGCCTACGATTCCAACAGAGCCCCCTACCTGCAAGATTGCCCGGGCACATACTCGTGTTGCATGCCGCATCATCGACCGTAACCGGCACAAACCACAGGACGACTATATTGACATCACGCGGGCTCTGGACCAGGAGCTTTTATGCATTGCAAGAAGCCTGCCATACAAGTACTGGCTCCTCCCCAATGTCACAACACTCCATCCAAACACCGAAGAAGCCTTCCAGGAACTCGTTCGGCTCCGCGACCAGCTCTGCCACTACAACCTTCTCCACCTCCTACATCTCCCCTTCCTCCTGCGCTGCGGCAAAGACTCTGAATTCAACATGTACTCGAAAATCACGTGCATCAACGCAAGCAGAGACGTGCTCAGCCGATTCATGGCGTTCCAGAACTTCCGGCCCATCGTAACGCAGGCGTGTCATTCAGCGAATTTCTTCGCCCTCATGGCCAGCATCACCATCCTGATTGCGCACATTGACAGCTACCGCTGGGACCAAGACAGCTTCCTCATGCACCAGCGGCTCAGCGACCGCGCAATGGTCGAGCAGCTCGTCGAAGGCCTCGAGCAGCTTGCAGAATCTGCAAATAATCTGCTCACGAGCAGAAGCGCGGCGCAATTGCGCTGCTTGCTCGAGATTGAAAATGAGGCGGCCAGAGGGAAAAAGGGACATACGGGTGCGACTACGCTGACGAGACTGCAGCAGCAGTGTGGAAATCACTGTTCACTTGCAATACCGTACTTTGGCATCATCAAGATTGGGTCCGATGGGATTACAAAGCAGCAGCAGCAGCAGCAGCCGCCACCATGTCAGAATGCAGCGTATTCACCATCTGCAGCTCAGGTATTTCCTCCGACCACAACGAGTATCGAGGATACGTTTTCGGGACTAGTACAAAGTCCCGGTTCGACAGACATGTCTGGTTTCAGCCCTTCGGCACTCGAGGCGGAATCGTTGCAGACACCGCTTTTGGGATTAGACTCTACTGGAGACTCTGGCGAGATCAGACAGTCTGAGTATCCGGATCTCACTGCGGGGGCGGATGATTGGGCATTCCAGGGCGTAGACGCGGCGTTCTTCGATTCACTAATCAGCGGTTCGAATTGGAATCAGACGGCGCAGGCGGAGCTGGGTGTATCTTAGTACTGGCTGGTGAAGGTTGCAAAGCTTTGTCTGGGTATTCTCTATGTCGTATGGTGTGTATGAAGATGCGTTTCACTTGTTGCGATCAATGCTGCAATACTCGGGAGCAAGTGTAGTCTAGATGTTCATATTCGATGCATGCTTAGCTAAAGTCTACACGATCTGCTTAACATCGGGTATACAGCGGTTACAAAGACTAGATTAGGCAAAGAGAAACAACGCTTCTAATCCTGCACCTTGTCCAACATGCTCTTTAATATCCTGGCCGTGCTCCTCATGCCCTGCAGCGCATTCTCGTCCGGCCCCTGCCCAGGCGTCCATGCCGCGTGTGCAAAGTCAATCATCTTGACCTCGGCAAGCTTGGGCAGATTCTCCTCGTCATCCTCGTCATCGTCTTCGGGATGCGCCGATCGCAGCTTTTGCTTTGTGTTGCCGTATTCCTCCACGTCGCCCTCGTACACAAGAAGTATACTGGCGCTGTACATCCTGCTCTCTTTGCTCTCGAATACTTCTTGGATGTCTTTGACCTCACCGAGAAAGTACGCAAGCACTTCTCTCGCACGATCGAGCTCGGCTTCCGACTTTGCGCCAGGGAAGATGTAAGATGCAAAGCCCTCGTCCACATTCTCGGCGTTGAACTTGCGCCCATACATTTTGTTGTACACCCAGTACCCACTCTCCCTGTCCACATCAACGTACTCCTTCAGGTCCTCGGGGACGTCTGGTACATCGGCGCCTTTGTAGGTGCGCATACCCGCTATCCTGAAGCCGAGGCTGCCACTCGTAGTCTCCTTGCTGACAGCATCGAGGCGATCCCTCTTCTCCTGCTTGGAGTCGTCGTCCCATAACCGCGCGCCAAGCTTCAAGTCCAAGACGTTGGGCTTCTTGAACCCATGGGTGATGTTCTCAAGAACTATGTGCAGGTCGGTGTCCAGATGCTTTCCATGCAGTCGCTCAATGGTGCCGTCGGCCGTCTGTACAGTCCCGCTCTCGATGCTCTCTACGGCGGCAGTCTGGTCAGCTGAAAGCGACAGCTGACCCATGAAGGTGGGGAGATGGCGCGCAAGATCGGGGTGCGCAGTGAGAGATTCGTAAAAGTTGATTTCGGCAAGAGTACATGGTTTGACTACGACAGCGCCAGATTCATCGCTGAGAACGCCTTCGCTGGAGTTGTTGTGTTAGTTTGTATGGGTCAAGCGACGAGGCTGAGTAGGCAGCCGCCTATGCGACACACGTACTGGCCGGCAGCGGCATTGCCGTATGCTTTTAGCTTGGATGCGTCATAAGTCTTGGTCGCCATGTCGCTGTGTATGTAGAGGAATCTTGACCTGGCGATCTGAGCTTGGGGCGTGTTGTTGGTGTTGAAGTGCAAGTTGGCTGAGCTTGTTGTGGGGTGTCTCAGGACCCCACTGTCAGTTGTGTTTCACGGCAACGGCGAGTCAAACAGAGCTGGTATGCAGCGCCTCATGATTCATGCTGTAGCAAACACCAGAGCCATCACTACTGGCAACATCAAGAAACAGGTTGATATTGATTGAAAAGAATACAACCTTGGAACTCTGCACCTTCTGCGTTAATCCCCAGCTATATGAAAATATGATTGATTCTCACTCCTAATCACGTCGAGCTCCGCGCATCGCTCGCATCCTTCACCATGACTTTAGGCTTTTCTCTTGGTGACACAACCTTATCGCAAGGCGGCATGGTCACGCCTTCCATTCTGGCAAGTTTGCTCTCACTTGGCCAAACATGCAAACGAGAAGCTCGCCGCCACTGTCTGCAGCTATCCACCTGTCGCGCAATTCGGACGCTGCAATCATCAGTACACCCCACCTCATATCTCGATTCTCATCTCTTCATTTCCCTCTGCTCTTCCCAGTAACTGGCAAGCGTCATAGCAATGGATATGGCGAGCCCAATAACAACACCTGCGGCGGATACTGAACCACCCAACGAAACGCCTCAGAGCACGACTGCAAACCCGATAGCTGAAACTGCAGTCCAAGATCATCCTGATGGCGCCGAGATCCGTCGTCAAGTACGTCTGCCGTTCCACAGACCTTGGCGAAGACTTATTGCATACTGACCGTCAGTCAAGGTGGAGTATTACTTCTCTGATGAGAACCTACCTACAGACAGGCATTTGCTGCAATTCTGTGGAGGCCGTGAGAACCTCCCCGTCTCCATCAACCGCATATGCGGGTTTTCGAGGATGCGGCAGTACAAACCCAAGAGACTCGTCGTTGCGGCCCTTCGTCTGAGCACTTTCCTAGAAGTCTCTGACGACGGGAAAACTATCAAGCGCAAAGTGCCGCTGCAGGGAAAATGTATCCTCGACCCGGATTTCTTTGACGATGAAGATATTGCCTACGACCCACGCGTTCAAAAGGCTCTCGCTCAGAAGCCAGTGCAGCAGCCAATGTCGCTTCTTGAAAAAAAGAAGGCTGCAAACCCAGGGGTGCCCAAGAATATGCTCAAGCCCACAGGGTTCGAGAGAACCTACATGGAGCCGGTCCTTACGCCCGAGGAAGCTGCACAGGAGGACGACATGTACGATCCCGACAAACATTTTGTCGAGCGCATGGAAATTGCCATTCAGCGCTTCAAACAGAAGCGTCGCATGCACGAAATGTATGCACACGTCTTTAATAAACTAATGCGCTTTGGCGGTGTAGAGTCCGGCCCGCGCATGTACCAAGGACTATCGACAAATGACATGAAAGACATGGATGCCGAGGAGCTTGCGAGAGCGCTTGCTACTCATCACATACCTTGGGACCGTGCCAATCCGAGTCAGTGGGTGGTTGATTTTGTCGGTGTCTGCAAGGCCTTCTTGTAAGTTTATCCTTGTCCAGCATCGCCAACGATATTAACGTCAGCAGGTCATCCTGGTATCCTGCTCACTATGGGTATGCTTCAAACAGCATCAAGAACGCTTGCCAGGTGCCCCGATCCTTTTTCAGGTACCTGCGATTTCACAGAGTCTGTCCGGAGTATGACGGTCAACTCGCTGCGGCGCTTGAGATTTGCGATGCCGCAGAAGAACAGCTCCCCAAAGTGCACGCCATAGGTCTTGCCTTGCCAGGAGATTTCAACAAAGCCGCCAGCGTCCTATTCGGTGGTACCCAGGCCGGCATGTACACTGGTGACAAGTCTTGGGCTGCGGAGCTAGGCCAGGATGGTATGAAGATTGAAGAGATTGGCATGCGCGAAGAAGAGGCTAAGATCAAGTTTGGCACTGGACTGGCTGTCTTGGGCTCGGATGAGCAGTTTAGCTTGTACGAGTCGTCGAGTATGAGGGTCCTCAGCAACGACTCTGCCTGTCTTGAAGTGATTGGCATCGACCTGCCTAGCACAGACACCAAAGCAGCTTACGCCGCACAGAGCACCATTTACCAATACAAGGTCCAACTCAGATGTCTTGGCAAACTTAGCTGTAAGACGTGGTACAACGACGATTGCGACGAATTCGACCTTCCCAGAGATAGCGGCAAGTACCCCGACGGCAAGCCCCGTGAGGCTGGCAAGAGCCGAAGCTACGAGTTCTGGCTCGAGGAAGACATTCTTCGAGACTGCTTTGTGGGCATGAAGATGGACGCGAACATCCTGGTCCTGTCAGGTGGTTTGAGCATCCTCGACGATGTCAAGGAGACCATGTGCAGCTTCCACGTCTGGCTGGCTAATGAGCTGTGGATGGAGCGGAAGCCGAAAGAGGTGCGGTGGCTGAAGAAGGGCATGGGTCTTGAGGATGACGAAGAGGAAGAGGGCGAGGCTGCTCGTGAGGCGAAAGCGGTGACTGATCAACGGGCTTCGGATGGCGAGTTTGACGATGAGTGAAGTTCGAATTGAAGGGTGAGGTAGGGGTCTTTGCCGCAACGCACGATGAAACATTGGCTCAAGGCTGGTGCGTCGGACTTGATAGCCAGCCACGTGGACGAGGTCTCATCAATTGGCATTGCAGACATGCAGTGCGGGCTAGATTGTGGTGGCTATGGAGAAGCCGATGGATGGGAGGGCTGGCGTGTGCACTGTGTGGTTAGTTTCTGGAATTGATACGCAGCAACGATCCCTGTGCGTCTACACTAGTCATGGCTCAGCTAAATAAAAGGAGCAAAGTGCCAAAGCTTATAGACGTTCTCCACATGATATAAGACGGCCAAGTAATAACGTCAGATGAAGGTGTTCTCCCCCCCCCCAGAGCGAAGAGCAGGATCTGCTTAGTTACTTGTAGGGTCTTGTGCATTCACAAGGCTGCAAGGATGGGCCTTTGGGCCAAGGTTTGAGCGTCAGCTGGGCTGCGCCACGCTTGTGCGCCTCAGTTTCATCGACCGTTGTCTTCTGGGCGCGCTTTAGCTGTCGAGGGCACCGCGACACGAAGCCAGGACTGAAACCGGAAGCCATGCCCGCTCCTACACCATGGCGGTAGCCAAGAGTTCCGTTCCTTGTAGCCTCGCCCAGCCAAGAGGCGCCCGCAAAGCACACGGGCGGCGCCTGTCGTATGCGTATGGATGTCGTCGCTGGTGCTCAAGGCGCTATAGCGATCGGCCTGGCCGGGGGAGAGCAACGGGACACGCGTGTGCGTGCACACGACGGCTACGCGCAACCAGAGAGGCGTGGCTAATACTTGGCGTGCTCAAATGCCGTGCCGTGACACGGCGTCAGTCTGCCAAGCATGCGATGTATCGGGCCCATGGCGGCCAGAAATCTGCATGTTCACCCAGCGAGACGCGCTCGGTATTACATTCTGCTTACCCCCATCTGTGGCATGCCACCTGCTAGCTCCCGCGGTGCCCGTCAGCAGCACATTGGGGGGCAAGTAATCATATAGTATTTAACCGCCGCAACAGGCGGAATCGGGAGGCCGTCCATGTGTCCACCGCCTCGCCCCAAGTGTGCACACGTCGACAGCATGCAGCGCGCGGGCAGCGACCAGGGCAGAGCAGAGAGAAAACCGTCGCACCCGAGCTACCCGTCCACGGCGCGTCTCGCATAGAAACCTTCACCAGGCAGTCCTAGTCACAGCCGCGTGACAAGCAAAGTAGCGGAGGGTGGATTGGTGTCCAGGCATGCCAAGAGCTTGAGTGCTCTTAGCAAGCGGAGAAAGGGTGGCTTGGTAAAACGTAAGAGCAGCCTGCCGCAAGTTCCCGTCTCTTGTTATTATTGCTCATTTATCTCCGCACACAGTTGCTGCTTTCCTCTGGGCTATGCGGCTTTTTCCTGTTGCTGCTGGCTGACTGAGAGACGGCGTCCCGAGTAGCGGCCGTGGCGGTCTTTTCTCCTTCCTCTTGCCGCGCCACCTTACCCACCACGCCACGACGACGACGACGACGACGACCACGGCGAGGCCAATGGTTGCATGCTGAGCGAGACTCTGCCAACCTACACCGTCCAGAAGCGATACGTTTGGGGGAGGCGGGGGCACCCAACACCGACAGCCCCCGAGCGTGCAGAAGAGAGTTGTTGTGGTGGTGGAGACAAAGGTCGGGAGATTCGGTGCTAGGATCATGGCCGCCGCCGCCTGGCTAGCTGCGCGGGCAGCGGAGTTTCCCAAACGGGATCACATCAGTACGTCCAGCCTCACGCTTCGCACTCGCACTCGCACTCGCACTTGGACTGCAACCCGACACGAGGCATATGCGCAGTGACACTGACATGCAACAGCCGACAAGATCGTCAACCCATACATCTATGACCCCTCGTGCGCCCTGGCCATTGTCGGCGTTGTCGTCGTCACGCTCCTCTCCGCATACTCCTTCTCACAATATCTGCGCAACCGCTCGTGGTTTCTCTGGGCCGCCATGATCGCCATCCTGATGCTGGACCTCGGGTTTGTGTGTCGCCTCGTGTCGGCGTACAACGAAGGCCAAGATGGGCCCTTCCTGGTCTCCTGGCTGATGATCTTACTCGCACCCAGCTTCCTGGCTGCCGCCTGCTACATGTCGCTGAGCAGGGTCATCTGGTTCAGCTGTCCGGCCGAGGCCCTCAACTTCAAAACCCTGTGGTGCTGGCCCGAATGGATCACGCCCACCTTTGTCGCCTTTGACCTGTTTTCCTTTGTCATCCAGCTCATTGGCGCCGCCCAGATCAGCAGGCACTATGACCATTCGCCCGCCGGTGACCGCACCATCAGCATCTCCGAGCGAAAAGCCCTGCCGGGACGTATCATACTCGTCCTGGGCCTGGTCCTGCAGATGACATGCTTCATCAGCTTTTCCGTCGTCTCGATCCGCTACTTTTACGTGTCGAGGCATTGGTCGGCACAGGACCTGGGCGACATGCATCTCTGGCGCAAGCTCTCGTACACCATCAACTTGTCTTCTGTCCTCATTGCCCTGCGCGCCATCTACCGCACCATGGAGATACCGCACGACCGCGAGTACGGGCTGCAGTACTTGCAGAGACATGAATGGTGCTTCTGGGTCTTTGACGCTGTGCCCATCTTGTGCGTTTTGCTCATCTTCATTCTGTGGCACCCGGGCGCCTATCTTCCACGCTCGTACACGGGATTGCGGCTGAACAAGCTTCAGGCGCTCAAGGAAAAGGATGAGATTAGTTCCATAGCCAGTGAGAGTAGGGCTGGCGGGTACGAGGCCGAGTTGAATGAATTTAGGCCAGAGGACTTCCACGATGTGAAGGCTACGAGCAAAGTATAGCACCAGTCACTAAGATTTGGCATCTAATAGGCGTTTTATGATGTGATACCAGACGCGTTCAGCGACATGGCGTTTTTTTTTTCGTTTCATTTGCGATGATACCATACTCAATGTTACTATGGGATTTTGAACTACCGATATTTAATTTGTATCTTGACTCTGGCGCCACTTGGAATCTTGTGACCACGCGCTGTATAGCCTTTGCTCCTTTGCATGCGCTGTGTACTGTCTATTTTTGTGGGCGGCAGGTTGGCCCGCAGACTTTGCCGTCGAATTGCCTTCGTTTGGACATTGCGCGCCCAACGGTATGTCACCGGTCTCAATGCCATTGGCAAGTGGCTGAGGATATAGCATGACCAATCTCTTTCTGCTCGTCTCATTGCTCATATGTCGGCCTGGTAGTGAATCCTGAACTTCTTGTTGGCACGGTCGGCCGCGCGTGTTTGAAATTGCTCGCCATTCAATTCAAAGGTCAGCGGCTCTTTTGGAGTTTCACCCTCGCCACAAGCAAGCGGCACTTGAAACCGAAAGATGGTGTGTTCCTTGGGCACAGCTGCATTCGTTAGATACCTACCCACTTACCTTTTTTGTGCCTACAAACTTACATTTGAGAACGTTGTTCTTGGTTATCATCTCAAAGGTAAAGCGCGTGTCGCGTACAACGATACCCTCTAAGCCTACGCGACTCACGCATCGGCTCCTCACCACAGTCATCAGCGCGCCGTGCATATCCGCGGTCGCGAGTATCTGTCCACTGGCGTTTGGAGTGATGAAAACGCTCCTCGACGCATCATTCGCACCCAGCACCTCCCTCATGTATCCTACCCATAGCTTATGCAGCCCCTCATATATGGCATACTTTTGCTGTTCCTTTGGTATCTCATTAAGACCCAGTGCGCGCTTCTTGGCTGCGGATAGCGGCCGAGGCTTGTTCTTGCTGCGCTTCCGGGCGGATTCCTTGCGGTCGTTGAGAGCGCGGCGGCGAACGGCGCGCGCTGATGGGGTCGGAGACGTTGCGCGGATGAAGAGAGGTCGCTTTACCGCACGTTCCTGGTAGTGCGACTCCGCCGTCGACGGGGAAAAGGCGCGCTGAAGGAGTGTCTGAGCGATGTGCGGGGTGGAATCTGCCATTGCAGCTCAAATGCTGCAACCCTGGAATATGTTTTTGCTGTCTCGTTGCGAAACCTGCGATCGCTTCGCCGATCAGGATGCGGGCGAACTTGCACCAGCACTTTTTCAGAAAATGCGCCCAACAACTCCGAAACTTGATACGCTGAATAAGCGCGAACTGGATAACGAAGCCAGCCGTTGAACTGCTGAGCTTTGATCTTGCTCCAGATGACGATGGGGGTTCGCGAGGGAGAGTCGTCGGCACTAGTGCGAAAGCGGGCTAGGCCGGTGGCTCGGCTATCGTTTTTCCGCCCTCACACATTCTCGGGCTTCACACACGTCAAAATCGACCTCAGCTTCGACAACACCGCTAACCCGCAGCAACCGTCAAGATGAAGTACATGTACGTCTACCCCTCGAATCCGACGCACAAATCGCTGCCACCGCACGGTTTTTCCCACTTCGGAACGCTTCATGGGCGCCTCGACACGGAATTTCCTCAGTCGCAAATGGCCAAATCCTGGGACTTATGCTGACAAGTGCGCAACAGCCACTCCGAGGAAGAGCTCACCATCCCCGATGGCGTCAAGGTCAACATTAAGAACCGATACGTCGTTGTTGAGGGTGAGTGCGAAATTGGGCATGTAATGCAGACATTGATACTGATAACGTGAATAGGTCCCCGAGTAAGCCAGGCGCGATGAGATATTTCTGGAAGAATGAATTCTTACACCACGCAGGGCAAGCTCACCAAGTCTCTCGGTCACTTGGCGGTCAGCTTCACGCACGTACGTTTGGAATGGTCAACGGGCGTCGATGGGGATATATGCTAAGACTGGAACAGCCCAAGAAGAATGTCATCAAGATCGAGCTCCACCACGGCTCGCGCAAGAGCGTCGCCACTCTCCGTACCGTCCGCACCCTCATCGTACGTCAACCGCACCGAACAAGTCGAAACGCTGGCAACGAAAGGACTGGGCTGACTGGGAGCAGAACAACTTGATCATCGGTGTCACCAAGGGTTACAAGTACAAGATGCGCTACGTCTACGCCCAGTACGTCACTATCCGGATGTTCCTTTCGCCGTCTGAAGCAATTGTCTGGTCCAATGCGGCTTGCCAAGCACCTGGATAAGAATTGTCTTGGTGGAATGATTGTGGGGTCCATGTTCAGAGTGGTTGGCAAGCCGAATTGGAACAGACAATGCCGGCGGTTGTACATGTTATTGGGCTTCACTAACATGTAGCTAGTTTTCCCATCAACGTCAACCTGGAGAAGAACAGCGAGACCGGTTGCTGGGAGGTTGAGATCAGGAACTTCATTGGCGAGAAGCTTGTACGAAGGGTTGTCCTGAGGCCCGGTGTTGATGTCGAGGCCTCGAAGAGCCAGAAGGACCAGCTTGAGCTTTCTGGAAACGTAAGAAGAAGAAATGCGGATTGCAAGGTATCATGCTAACGGAAGCAGTCGCTCGAGGACGTGTCGCAGGGTGCCGCCGATATCCAACAAATCTGCAAGGTCCGCAACAAGGATATCCGAAAGTTCTTGGACGGTCTGTACGTGTCGGAGCGCGGCAACATTGTCGAGGACGCGTAAACGGTTCTGGGGAGTAGGGGTTTCTTTACGGGCACATGAGCATCTATGAACTTCTCTGCATCACATGCGGTTGGCGCCTGGGGGTCTAAGCTCAAAAAACGATGTTCAAACAATACCACCAATGACTTGATGGAAGACGCATGCACACTCGCTCTTGGTGACACAATGGGACGTCGACGAATTGCGTGATGGCAGCCAGGCCGGTGCGTACATGTAAGGCTCACTTTGTTTATTACCGGAGGGTGGGGTTGATGGTGAGGCTTTGTTAGCGTTCAAAGGCAATACAAGAATGCTACCCACACGATAGCCATGTCTGCCGAGTTTGCTCAATGTGCTCAGGATGTGCTCAGGATGTGCATGTGCATGTGCATGTGTGCATGTGTGCATGTCGACAACATGTCACTCCGCGGGTAGAGTGTTCATGACGTAGACGGATATGTAGTAGCATCACGCAGAGGGGAGGTTGTGCCTAGGCCCCCGCACGACTTGGGGGGGGGTCGTCACCATGTGTCAGCCCGCGGTTGCAAATGAAGCTATCGCCGCAAACGCCGAAGATTGCCAGCGACAAATTGAGGGCAGCGGAAATAGGCAAAAGTGGTTGGACAAAGCCGGACGAAACATACCCTCGGCGTATAATAAGAGGGGGGGAGGGGGAGCTACCTGGCGGAATGGCGGAATCAGGCTTTGAATACTTATTTGATTTACCCCGCCTTTCTTTTTTTTTGTTTGGGAAATCTTCAGGAAATACGAACATTACACGCTCGAGACTTTTGGGTAAGACTGCTATCTGGAAAAGAAGAAGAAGAAGAAGAAGAAGAAGAAGAAGAAGAAGAAAGAGGATAGATCCAATAGACATGGTGGACAAGCTCGATGTCGAGGGACTGCTCCGAGAGTCCAAGGCCGAGTACAGGCGGCTGGGCAAGAGCGGGCTCAAGGTGTCTGTGCCGATTCTGGGGGCCATGAGTATTGGAAGTGCAAAGTGGCAGCCGTGGATTATTGAGGAGGAAGAGGCATTGCCGCTGCTCAAGGCTGCGTATGACCGCGGGGTTACGACTTGGGATACTGGTGAGAATGTCCATGTATTAACCTCATCTTGGGACTATTTTTTTGTTTTTTTTTACTAACCAAACTGAAACCAAAAAAAAGCCAATGTCTACTCCAACGGCGTGTCGGAAGAGATTATCGGCAAGGCCATTAAGAAATACGAACTACCGCGCGAGAAGCTTGTTATTCTGACAAAGTGCTATGCTCATGTGGGCGAGGATCCTGGACTGCGGACTATGCACTATTTCAAGGAGCTGCCGCAACTCAAAGACTATGTCAACCAGGGCGGACTGTCGCGGCAGGCTATTTTCAACGCTGTCAATGCTTCGCTGAGGAGGCTCGACACCGACTACATTGATCTGTTGCAGATCCACCGGTTCGATCCCAACACGCCTATCGAGGAGACGATGGAGGCGCTGCATGACCTGGTCAAGAGCGGCAAAGTACGGTATATTGGCGCCAGCTCCATGTGGGCAGTGCAGTTTGCACAGATGCAGTTTGCGGCCGAGAAGCGCGGTTGGACCAAGTTTGTGAGCATGCAGAACCACTACAATCTGCTGTACCGCGAGGAGGAGCGTGAAATGATCCGCTTTTGCAATGATACGGGCGTGGGCTTGATTCCGGTATGTGTTGTTGTTGTTGTTGCTGCTATTGCTACTTGGATAACAGTGGATTACTTGCACCGAATCGCTAACATGAGCTTGCCAGTGGGCGCCTCTGTGCCGCGGTCATCTTGCGCGTCCACCGTCCGCGAATGGCTCGACGACGCGGTCCGAAGGCGAGCAAAAAGCCGGCAACCAGACGTCGGGCAACACGGAGCGCGACCGGCAGATTATCGGGCGCGTCGAGGAGCTGGCCAACAAGCACGCGTGGAAAATGAGCCATGTTGCGCTGGCGTGGATCAACAAGCGCGTGGCGAGCCCCATTATCGGCTTCTCGAGCGTCGACCGCATGGACGAGGCGCTGGCGGCGAGGGGCAAGGAGCTGAGCGACGATGAGGAAAAGTATCTCGAGGAGCTGTATGAGCCCGTGCGGATTGTGGGACATTCGTAGAGAGATGGAGGGAGATCGTGCGACCATGGCACGGGCTATGTATGTATGAATGTGTATGTAGCCATGATGATGATACGATGCGAGGCGGGCGACAACTGGATACTTGGTCAAGCATGGTCCAATGGCATCATGGCACCCCCCGAAATGAAGGCATCGACTATTGTTGTCACTATAGTAACCTTGCAGTTGACCAAGTGGATCAATCAATGCCCCCGGCGGTTTTTTGCGTTGGAGGAGTGGGCGGCCGGAGCTGAGACGATGCGCGCGTCCATGAGGGCTTTTGTCGAGCCATCGAGTGACCAATGACGTCGGTCGCGTGATGCATCTCACCACCCGTTCCTGAGCGGAGCAACGCTGCTGCGACACAGCAACAACAGCAGCAGCAGCAGCAACAACAACAACGGCGGCCCAAACACCACGGGTATGAGCAGACGAGAGCAGCGTGCGGCTCAAGTGCTAGCTTGCCACGGGCGGTGCCTGGGACGATTGTCCTGAAGCCATCGTCAGCCATGCGAGGGGGGCCACGCACGCTCGCAGCCATTGGCGTTGGGTGGCTCCTTCCCCGCATTCTGATGATGCTCGCTGCTTCCCCGCATTGGTCCGGCCATTCACATCTCACGCCCGACTTGCATTGGGGCCCTCGATATGGCCATCAAATCAAGTGACCGCCGCCTGTGCCTCATAAAGAGCCGCTGCTCCCCTCGCTCCTCTCTCTTCCTCCTCCTCCTCACTCATCACACCACTCGCCTTGCCCCCGTCCCACTCGTCGGTGCACCACACTCAATCCACCCTGATACAGCTTCCCAAGCTCTTTGACCCCCCTCTCTCTCGCTTAGCAACAAACACGCCGCCGCTACCATGGCCGCAGAGACAGAAAACACGCTCCAAAAGGTCGACTCTCTCACGGAGGAGCTCAAGGATGGCGCCGCCAAGAAGGGCCACCGCAGAGTCAGCTCCATGGCGGCTGATGTCTACCGCATCGAGGACCTAGGTATGTGTGACGTCGGGCGAGTGGATGCGGGGCAGGCGAGACTAACGGGCCCCCTTAGAAAAGGAGGGCAAGCACATCGAGATCTCAATTGAGACGCAGAAGCTCAACTGGTAAGAGAGGTCCCCTTGTACCCACGGCCCATTGGGAGCTCATCCGGCGTCGTCCGGATGGTGGTGGCCAGGTGCTATGGTTGGAAGCCCTGCTGACGCCGTGCCTCTTAGGAAGCTGAACAAGTCTCCAAGCACTGTCGAGGACCCGTCAGTACTAAAGCTGCCACTCACGGAGCCCAAGCTCAAGTCCATCACGCTGCACTTCCCGCTCGGCCTGGAAGTGGTTGCACGGAACATGAAGGGCGTTACCATCAAGGACGCGCTGGACGCCATCCACAAGCAGTTCAAGAAGCGAGTAAGTTTGGAATGATGGCGTCGTGGTCCCAAGGACGCTGAGCATGGCTGACTCGCGCAAAGGCCGACGACGAGTTCGAGAAGCCATACCTCATGGGGTTTGAGTGGGACCGGGAAGAGTGCTACACGCGCTTCATCGTGCACCAGTCGGCGCACCCCACGGCACCCAACGCGTTTGCGTCTGGCGGCAAGAAGAAGAAGGCCAAGAAGGCCGAGGGCGAGGAGGGCTCCTAAGTGAATGACTCGCCCCCTTCCCAGCGTTCGACTTTTACACACACACATACAGGCTCAGTCATAGTGCCATGCTTGGGCATCGCTTGTGCGGGCTATGGGCTGTGCACTCGGGTGCTGGTCAATCTTGATATCGATATGGGAAGAGCGAGCGCGTCTACTGCGACGCCGTGGCCGCTGTGGTGCACGCCTGGACAGGCTGGCAGCTTACGAGGCGCGGCCGTCGTGGGGAGTGATGCGTCGTAGAAGCGTTGGCAGGGTGCTGGCCGGGTGCAAGGGCAGCGTGTCAGTATGTAGTAGACTTGCAGGCACCCGCTCGGGCTGCCGGGCGGTGGCTGGGACAATGAGAAGACGTTCAGACGTTGATAGCGTGCGTGAGTGAGTGTGCGTGGGGTGACGTTAATGTGGATGACGATGCTCGATGTTTGACGTCGCGAGAGGCCAAGACATGGGCGGCGAGACAGTCGGGCGAGGCGGTTAAGCGAGGGGCGCCATGTGGGTGCTCGACATGGTTGACGCTGCCCGCCCGCTCCCGGCAGCCTCTCGCACCTGAATTTGCTCGTCAGCTCCCAGTCGCGTGTGCAATCGCCGAAGCCCGCAATCGTCGCTTCTCGCTCCTCAACCCGGGTAGCTCGCCACCTTGCATTGGTAGCGCTGCAAGCGCCTGCGTTTCACCACCCCCAGCATGACTATTGCTCGTGGACACCGCATTTTGACCCGACCACGCTTGCTTTTGCTCTCTCCTCCTCGACACTTTAACTTTCGCCCCTCAGTCCGCATGCATACACCTCGTCTCCTATCTCCAAGCGTCATGTGCATCCAGCTGCTAGCATAGCTCCAACCTTGTCCGCTTCTACAACAAAACCCCCTCGTTGCAAGCCCACCACCGCCTCTGCAACCCAGCCTACCCAGAGTGCTTTTTCCAACTCCTACACAATGTTCTCCAACCTTCAGATACGGCCCGCCAAACCCCAGCGCAGGAGGCCCAGTCTGACTATACGCGCCGGCGTCGCAAAGCGCCGAGTATCGACCGTCTCGGCTCTGAGCGCGAGCATGGTGCCGTCGCTGAGCTTCATGGAGGGCTTGTTTGGCGACGAGTTCCCAGAGGCGTTTGGCACCGGCGACGGGAACGCGGCAAAGAGCAGGAAGTGCATTTTGGACTTGCCCGTCGAGCTGCTCGAGATTGTGTGCGCACACATTTCCAAGCTCGACATCAAGCGATTGCGCCTCGCCTGCAAGCACCTGGCCAGCAGCGTCTATCTTCGCATCGACCGCGTCTACGTCTCGCCAAACAGAGCCAACCTCGACTACCTGTACAGCATCTTGGCTCATCCCCGGTACAAGTACCGCGTCCTCGAAGTCGTCTGGGATGATGCGCGGCTCCAAGAGTACCCGACGCTCGACAGCTTCCGCGAGGCGATCCTGCTTGACGAAAGAGAGACCAAGAGAGCCATTGAGAGCCGACTCAACGAGGCCATCTGGATTTACAGTGCCGGAAATCCCGAGTACCATGCACTAGAGCACGACGATCTTTTCGACAAGAATGGGCGGCTGACCGAGGCTGCCAAGGAAATCCTTTTGCGCTACGACGATCCGTTTTCAAGTGAGGTGCTTGCCCGAAACGCAATCATGATGGACATTGAAGAGAGCTACGCGCTGTACCAAGACCTGTACAAGACCGAGCAGGCAATCATGGAACAGCAGATCGACGTCAATGCCCTGCATCAGGCCTTGCTGGGATTCCCAAAGCTCAAGAGAGTCACCTTTACCACCGAAGCTTGGCGTCCATGGACCATGCAGCCCCGATACAACACGCCCTTCCACCGTGCGCTGCCCGTGGGATTCCGCAAGCCGAATATCAGGTGCGAGTCTCGTCCATCTTCAGCAGCAGGCCAATCCCCGAATCACCCTTTGAAGATGTCTGTGCAAAGAAATCGCATGCCAGTGGGCTTCCGAGGCTACTCCATCCTGGTATCCGCTCTACTCAACATGCCAGTTCCAAGCATCGAGGAGTTTATTGTCGAGTTGGAAAACGAAGTCACGGGCAAAAGCCAGGACGCTATCGATATCACGTCAGCAGACTACGAAGACACTAGACGCATGTTCCAGCGAACTCCGCTCAAGCATGTCAAGTTCTTTGTCAACTCCGAAGTCGACGCTCGCACGCCATCCACTTTCCAGAATACGAGCAATGTCCGAAGCTTACTCACGGAGCTCCGCCACCTCCAACACCTCGATCTGAGTCTCAACTACAACAAAACAGAACCGCTCTTCGGTCACGTTCCCCGTCTCGTTCCCGTACCTGAGATTTTGACGTCTCAGCTCAAGACCTTGACCTTGCGCCACGTGGTCGCAGAAAAAGATGATATTTTCGGCCTTCTCACCTCATTGCCAAAACTGCAGCACGTCACGCTGCATCATCTCCGTCAATGGACCGACGCTCCCTGCTGGTTTCTCCTCTTCCAGCGCCTAAGGGCTTATTACAACACAGTAGCTCACGTGCGGAAACCCCGTTTTACCATTGCACAACCCCGTGTTTTCGACACGACTTACCTGCAGGTAGTCGACGAAGAAGTAGACGCCTTCTTGTACCGCGACGGCGAGAATCCGTTTCTCCGAGCGAGCATCAAGACGTATGCGCATCTCCAGCCGCATTTGGGGTGGAGAGTCGACACAAGACACGAGACGGTGAGACAGAGGATGCGGGACGTGTGTGTGCGGGAAGAGATTCAAGAGTGGGAGAGCGAAATGTAGCTTGCATTCACGGCTACTGGCAATCTGCAGAAGCCTGAAACGAGGCTGCAGGGTGCGAAGATCCCACGCCGCATTGCGTTGTACCGTTCCGATCTTCTAATTGGATACGCGGTCGATCCTCCTGGCCTAAACAGGGCTGCTTGGACTAGCTGTCCCACGTACGACTGGATAACCTTCCTCGTGCGGAATACACTAGAATCGGATTGGGCGGTCAGCGCAAAGAGGAAGCCGTGTGCTTCCGGTTGGGATGGCCAGAGGTGACTGCGATCACATCGAATGCATCCATATTGCCTGGTGTGGGTCAAGAGCTCACCAGGATGTCAGGAAGAGAAGGACATGAAGTGTAGTGCGCAAGGCAGCTGACACATGGTTGAACGGCGTGGGACCGAGTAGAGTTTTACGCTCCATGCACGAAGATATGATTATGACATTACGAGGAATCATGGACGTTGGTTGGAACTGAATGGGTATAGGGGCGCTGGTGTCTCTGGTACATGTCTAGTCACGCTCACGCTCCAACAAACTGGGGTATCCGTGGTACCCTCGAGTATGAGCTTTACAAACAAAGGACACGAGGCATATGTTTGACGACTGAACGCATGTAGATGATTTTCTTTTTCTTTTTCAATTAAACAATGCATCAAACACCCAACACTCCCTCGCTCGCTCGCTTCCTCCACTCAACCACAATACCCAAACAACACCCTCAGCATACCTCTTCTCCCCACACTCTCAAACCCCACAAACACACAACTACCCGACCAAGCCCTCAACCGGCTCAGGCCACGCCCCCAAAATCAGCGCACTCGCCGGCGTCTGACCGGGCAACGGACTCAAAATCTTGACCTTCTTCTTGGCCTCATCCACATCCGCGACATAGACATAGCCCCGCACACTACTATCCCTGATAACCGCATGGCTATCATTCGGGCTCGCCGTGGTAATGGCCAGCAGCCGATTCAGCACGGCCTCATCCGTTAGCACCGCTTTCTCGAACAGCGGAGCATGCAGCGAGGTTGGCATTGAGATTGAAGATGCGGATATCGGGACGCCGTAGTCGTCTACAGGGCCGTCTCCGGCGTCGTCGCCATTGACGCTACTGCTGTTTCCATGGTCGGGCGCCACGACGCGGAAAACGTGTAGGTCGGCGGCGTCCGCCGTCTGGCTGCTGGGGGCCAGCGTTTCGTCGGCGTGGCCGAAGAAATACTCCTTGATCTGTGCGTGGCGCAGCGCGCGCATGTAGGTTTCGGAGCGGTCGACGCAGCCGCCGGATTTGTCGAGCCGCAGCACGCTGACGGCTTCCGAGGGATCCGTCGTCATGGTGCGCGCTGAGAACTTGCGCGAGAGATCCGAGTAGAGGCGCTCTGAGCCCAGTGTGATGACCACGTTGACTGTTGGGTGCCCGCGCGGGGCGGGGGAGGGTTAGTGTGTGGTTTGTGAGAGAGAGTGGGCGTACCTGTGATGTATGTGTATGGGTGGTGGGTGGGTGGATGGATAGAGAGAAAGGGAGAGGGAGAGAGGGTTATGCAAGACTGTGGTAGGATGGCGGAAACGGATAGACGGAAGATATCAAGACATCACACGCACCCGAAAACTCAGAAACAATATGCTCTATGTTGTCGTAGACGCCATTCTTCCCTTGGCTGATGGCGCCTGAGCTATCGATGATGAAGCCAGCCTGCTTGCTCAGCTGGTCCTCCTCCAGTCTACTTGTAACCGCCAGGGCCATGCGTGTCACCAGCGGCTTGAACACCCTGCCTTCTTCCGGATCTCTCAGCCCGTAGTGATACACCAGCGGCATCTTTACGGGGATCGGGCTCGGCCCCGAGATGGGACTGCTGCCCCATCCCTCTTCGATGTCTACTATCGACGAGAAGGCTGCGGCCGAAAAGGAGCCCGGCACGCTGAGCATGCCCTGGCGCGGGTCGAGATTGACCACCATGGGCTGTCTATTCGTCTTGACTGCATACGCCGTCAGCGTCTTGACAAGCGACGTCTTGCCCGAGTTTTCAGGTCCCACGACGAGCACTCTCGGCCCCATTTCCACGCTGCCGCTCGCAATGCTCCTGTCGCGCAAGTTCTCCAGCGCAAAGTGCAAGTTTGCAAAGCTCATCATGGGCGTTTCCTCTGCCACGTAGTCGGACTCGACTTCGCCGCCAATGTCAAGCTTGCAGCCATGCCATGTGAAGATGGCGCCCTTTGTGCCCGAGAACGAGTACGTCGTCGAAGGCGCAAGCTCCGTGCCAAAGAACTCGGCAGTGCCCGACTGCAACTTGACCGTCAGCGTGCGGGAGAAGGACACCTCGAAGCGATATTCCGTATTGGCAGCGAGATCCTGGGTCCGTGTGACTGCCGACGAGGGCGCATTTTGTGGCTCGGCAGGCTGCGAGGAGAGATTGAGACCTGGCAGGGATATCATACTGCTGGGAAGTGTCAAGTCTGGTATTGAATGAGTGGTGTTAATAAATCGAGGATAGCGTTGTGAAGATTGAAGCTGGGCTCGACGGGCGGTGGACAGCGGGATTTGAAACCTAATGGCTAGAGTCGCACAAGTCCCTGCGGAGCGAGCATGTGTGTGGACAGCGACTATATGGAGGCGACGGCGGGCGGTGTAAGTGTGAAGAAGCATCAAAGACGACAACGGCGGCGAGCTTGAGCTGCCGCACGGGCCATGCGGACTTGACGAACGCCCATTGGCGGAGGTGTTGGCGTACCTCGCATGTGTCGCTCACAGCATGACATTGTGAAACTCTGCTTGAAGCTTATCTGTGCGTTCGTGCTTATGCTACTCGTGCCCAATACCTTTATGTTGGTCAGCAGATGCGCAGTTCCCGTCCGTGAATCCCCCTCGTTTTCGCCCACGTCTCTTCCTGCGCCCCTCGCTGTGCAGCATCGCCCCGCGGCTCCTACACGATGAAGTCGCACATGGCAGCTTGGTCGCTGGGATCTTTGCTCACGCTCCAGCGCGTTGCCGGTGATCCGAAAATGTTCGCCGCTCAGGAACCGCTGAAAGATGGCATCGACCCCCTCATATACAAAGCAGCATGTCCAGACTACAAGAACTATGCCATGCGACCGCAGTATGTGACACGGTGTACCCCCCCCCCCAAAAAGCCTATACTGATGCGTCCATCAGCCCGCCATACAGCGACGGCCCCAGGTCGCTTCCCTTCCAGCGCCCCTTCAAGTACTGCCGCACGTTTGAGTCGCCGCTGGTGGAGAAAGTGATTGATGATATGAGCGAAAAGATAGTCGACAAGGACCTCGCGCGCCTCTTTGAAAACGCCTTCCCAAACACCCTCGACACAACCGTACGATGGCACGTAGACGGGACCGTCAAACCAAAGGCTTCGGCGCGGAGCTGGAACTCTGCTGCGTGGAAGGGCCCGCAGAGCTTCATCGTCACGGGCGACATCAACGCCGAATGGCTCCGTGACTCGACCAACCAGCTGGCGCAGTACCAGCTGCTCGCGAAAAAGGACAAGGACATCCACCAGCTCATCGTCGGCGCCATCAACACGCAGGCCGAATACGTCATTGGATCGCCCTACTGCAATGCGTTCCAGCCGCCGCCCCCAAGCGGGCTGAAGCCGACGTTCCAAGGCAACGGCGACACAGTGCATCCGCACTACGAGGAATCCTTCGTCTTCGAGTGCAAGTACGAGCTCGACTCGCTGGCGCACTTTCTCCGTCTCGGCAACCAGTTCTACAAGCACACGGGCTCGACGGAATTCGTAAACGCGCGCTGGCTGCAGGCGCTCGACACGCTGCTGCGCGTGCTCGACGAGCAGTCCAAGCCGACGTTTGACCCGGAAACGGGCGCATACCAGGGCAACGAGTACACGTGGCAGCGCAAGACGGACAGCGGCACCGAGACGCTGGGCCTCAGCGGGCTGGGGAACCCTCTGAACGGCGGCACGGGGCTGATCCGCAGCGCCTTCCGCCCCAGCGACGACGCCACCATCCTGGGCTTCTTGATCCCCGCCAACGCCATGATGGCCACGGAGCTCGAGCGCACCGCCGCCGTGCTGCGCAAAGCCGGCAAAACCACAGTCGCCTCGACCGTCGCCAAGTGGGGCGACAAGATCAAGGCAGGCGTCTGGGAGCACGGCGTGGTCACGCACAAGAAGTACGGCCAAGTCTTCGCCTTTGAGGTCGACGGCTACGGCTCCTCCATCCTCATGGACGACGCCAATCTGCCCTCGCTGCTCGCCCTCCCGCTGCTCGGCTTCACAGACCGCGACAACACCGTGTACAAGAACACGCGCAAGATGATCCTCGACCGCCACGGCAACCCGTATTACCTCGTGGGCAGCGACTTCAACGGCATTGGCGGCCCGCACGTCGGACTGCACAATGCGTGGCCCATGGCCGTCCTCGTGCAGGCCATGACGAGCGACGACGACGACGAAATCACCACCTGTCTCGAATCCGTCAAGAATGTCTCGCGCATGGGCCTGATCCACGAGAGCGTCCACGTCGACCATGCCACGTCGTACTCGCGCAGTTGGTTTGCATGGGCAAACTCCGTCTTTGCACAGACCATTCTCGATCTCGCCCAGCGGAAGCCCCATTTGCTGTTTGGCAAGGGCGCTGAAGCCTACACATTGTAGAAACTTGTTCGTCAAACGATGCGCTGGAATATCTGAAAAGCATGTTGTCTTTCGTTCAAGTGAATGAATATTCATAACGACGTGGGCTTTGGATGGATTGCTCTGCACTTAAAGTGTGTCTGTGTGTGTGTTTGTCTTTGTGTTTGAAAATATGTGTGCTTGTTCTTTTTTGTGAGTACCAAGTCATCAACTAGCTAGTTGTTCATGTCTAAGTGTCCCCTCCAACAAAAGAAACAAATAAAACATATATATATATATATATATGAACTTTCAGACAACGGCCTCCACTCTCCTTTGGATGTGTGTGTGAACACTGGAAAACCTCTCCGTGTAACCACCATCCCTCCCCCCTTTCTACCCATAGAGTCAAGGAAACGATTTGCGCGCGACTTGTGACAAACGAAACAAGGAAAAAAAAGCAAAGCCAATAAGCCACCCACGCAGCTCCACAATTCGGAAAAGGGGTATAAGAATCAAGGAGCAAAAGAAGAAAAGAAAAGAAAAAAAAGGAAACAACGGCTGAATGATTGAAACAAAATACACAAGAACTTGAGAAATTAATGGTGACGAGCAAAAGTTGCGGGGTATTCGTGCCGTCGTTGTCGAAGACAAGGAAACAACCAAAGAACAAGAAGAAGAAGAAGAAGGAGCCGAGCCCTCGCTCACTTGCGTAACAGTAGGAAAGACAATAGCCGACCTGAAGCCGGTTGATAGTTTGATTGGCCAGGTTCATCCCAGGCCTGGTTTCAAAGTGTAGTTGTAGTAGATGTAGGCTTAGTTTGTGAAGCTAACCTGAGGCTTCAGCTTCTCTGTTGTCCGTCTCCGCGAGACGGCACGTTGTTCACTCGTGCCTCTGGTCATGTTGGTCCAGTCTTCCCAGTCGCCCGCCATCTCTGTAAGCACATTGCCCATGACCTGCGCACTGGCCATGAGGCCGTGCTGCTCACCCTCCAAGATGCGGACTTCACATTTCCGCATTAGCTTGCCAAGCCATCGTACATTGTCGACGGGTACGCGCGAGTCTTTGGATCCATGGTGGATGACCACGGGGCGATTGATGTCTTCGTATCGGAAGCCAATGCTCTGCTTCGTCTCGAGACAGACGATGAGATCAGTGGCAGGGTTCGCGTTTGCCGTTGCGCGGTCCCAGATGGCAAAAGTGAGACGCTCGTCAAAGGCGCGCTGCCGTTCACGTTCGGCTAGAGTAAGCATTTCCTGCATACGTTGTGCATCCTCGGGGTTTGGGTCCGTGGCATGACCCAAAGTCAATGTGCTAGCATTGGGCAACACTTGGTCCATTACCATCATTGAGTGCCGGGGATCCTTCATGGCAGGCCGTGCGGATGACTGGGTTGGCGCTGGCGAAGGGGCCATGCTTTTCCGTCTCCCTTTAGGCGAGCTCTTGGGCCCGGTACGCTGGAGACTGGCGCTAGTGGCACTCAGGAAGGTCGAGTTTGCGACCTTGAGAAGCGACGGGGGTAGGGCACGAAGGAAGCGCTGTGACCTTGGGAGCTGCTGTGTGGGTGGGCTATCTTGACTGATGCCGATGGGTGCCATTTGGGAAGGGGGTATCCAAGGGGCGAGCAAATGCACTCTGCCGCGTATGTGTTGTGGCATGCGTAGTGATGTTGCGAGAGCGTAGACGGCTCCTGCAGAGTGAGCTAGCAGGGAGAACTTGTTGATCTTCAAGGCCTGGCAGATGATGAGCACATCATCTAGTGGGAGTTAGCATAAGACTAAAATAGTTTGACAGCCGGACCATGCGCTTACCAGGCCAGCTGAGCGGCGTCCCATTCGGATCAACTTGGCTTGCTCCAATACCAGGACGGTCAGGTGTGATCAGGCGCAGCTTGAGTGTAGCGGCAAGCTGGTCGTAAAAGGCCATGACGAACCGCGTGAGACCCATGCCAACACAGACGAAGACGGCAAAGCCCTGGGGATCGCCAACTTCTGAAAATGATATGATCCTGCCCGTTTGGGGATGCCGTATCTTTTGTGATAAGCGATCCGAGTTCAAGTACTGGTTCACGTCGAGGTCGATGGAGTCGCGGCTCGCCGGTCGCTCTTCGATGATGGGATGAGGGGGGCTTTGCACAGCGGCTGCTCTTGCAAGCTCCTCTCTTCGCTCCACTCGGTCGTTGTGCTCCTTTTCCGCCTTTGCCGGCAAATCAGGGTGGGACCACCTTTTCCTGGCGCCCGTGCGCTTGCGCTGAAGCTGTGTACTGTGGGAATCTGAGGGGGGCGATATAAGCATGGAGCGGTGGCGGGTGATGGGTTCTTCGCTGCCCGCCCGCGAAGGCAGTGCCAGCCTGTAACTCGAATCGTCCGTGACACTGGACGAGTGTTTGTGGCCTGAGGGTTTGTTTATGAGGATGGCGTTGGTTGCTGCGCGCCTGCCGACGGCAGACCTCCCTCCGGTGGCCATGGAGTTGGAACGCCTCATAGGGGAGGATTCGTTGCTGGTCATGGTGGACTTTGTGGACTTTGAAATAATACTGGGAGCAGGCGGCTTGGATAGCCGCAAATCAAGAGCCAAGGCTGGCAACTGTGAACCGAGGCTGTCGATGGCAAGTGTGTACTCGATGGGCAGCTGACTGTAATCATGGCTGTCGTTTAGTGTCAGGCTTCGGGGTCGGGGCTGCCCAGATTGTCGTACTCGATGGGGTATTGGCAGGTTAGGCCTGTCCGCAGGTTCCCGTTCACTCGACCTGTCGGCCAACCTCCCTGCTAGCTCATGGGAAATACCCAATATTTTATGCGCTTTTGTGGGGTCGCTTATCCTCCTTCCGTCCTCCGACATACTTGACACAGTGGTAGTGGGGGAGCTTTCAGGGCTGGGAATGGACGAAACGCAAGGCACCCTGGGTGGAGTAGCCCCTGCATCGCGCTGTGCCGGTAGGTCTCCGGCCAATCTATCTCTCTGCATTTTGCGCTCGCGGAGCTGCCGGATCCTCTGGGCGACTTCATTCTCCTCTTCCTCGAGCTCGTCGAGGATCTTCTTCTGTTTCTGCGCCTCGGGATCCAGCCTTTTCTCGTCCGACGCCATTTTGGGGGCGTATGCAGCAGACGGGTCCGAGTTGCGAGACCTGTGGCGACTCTTTTCTTCGGCGCGGTGCTTCTTGCTCCTGCGCGTGGGACTCGATGTGTGTCTCAGGGAGGAGCGACGTTGGGGAATGAGGCCTTGATCCAATGGACTCTCGCAGTACGGGCCACCATCCACCAGATTCAGGCGAATCCGCCGCGACGTCGAGTAGCGGGGGACAAAGCGACTCGATTCGGGATCCCCCTCGTCACGCAGCGACTCTTCCTTGGCCGAGGAGGGTTCTTCCTTGATGGTGTCTTCGTAGGGGAAGAGGTGGTTTGTGCTTTTTCTGGGAGAGTCGGCAGACGGGGAGTCGTCGAGGTTGTGGGCGCTTACACGCTTGCGCTCAGTCTCTTTTTGACGCAGTCGCTCGCGCGAGCTCATGTACATGAGACTCTTGTGCCCCTTGAAGCTGCGCTTGCTCTCGACCGACGAGCGGTTGCTGCTCGTCGAGATGCGGTGCGTGGGCGCCGCCTCGATGCTGATGTTGCCGAAGCTGCTGGCCGAATGGGTCGAGTGGTTCGAGTGCAGCGAGCACGAGCTGGCGCTGCGGCCAATGTAGCTGCCGATCGAGTGGGCTTTGGTGGCCTTCTTGGGGGCCGTCAGGGGCGACAGGCCGGACGGGGGCTTGGAGGTGCGGATGACGGGCGGCTCGCAGGCGTCGTCGGGATGCAGGTCGTGCTGGGACCTCAGTGCGTCGTAGTAGTGGGCGTGGTCGGACGAGGCGCCATCATGGGCTGCCGAGATGGAGTTGCGGGTCGAGTGGGTGCGCACGCTGGGCGTGGCCGAGAGGGTGGGCGCCGTGTCGTAGCCGACGAGCAGGTTCTCGAAGTGGTTGTTTGCGGGGATGGAGATGGCCGACAGCTGGTCGATGAGCGACGAGATGATCTGGGGCGACGTGGCCGTGTTGCGGATGCAGTTGGACGGGCGGTCGTGATGTGGCGTGCGCGTGTCGGCCGACGTCTTGATGGACAGCGGTAGGGAGTTGCGCCGCCGCGACCTTATTGTCTGGTTGGCCGTGTGGTTCGCTGGTGCTGGGGGGGCGGCGGGCGCATTGGCGGGGCCAGCGCGAGCGGGCTGGAGCTGTGCCTCCATGGCTCTGGGCTGCTGCAGGCGACGCACCTAGGGCAGACGGCTATGGATGTAAAAGGTCACGCCCGGCGCAAACCTGCAGACAAACTGCACTGGCGCGTCGATAGCTGCTGTGCGGGCGATCAGTGCATGGTGGGCATGCAGCGCCGGGGGGTGGTGGGGGGGGGGTTGATGGGTGGGAGTGCCTGTGTTTTGCAGCGTCAGCGGGCGGGGGGGGGGTGGCGGATAGGCGGATAGGCGAGGCAGGCGAGGCAGGCGAGGCAAGCGAGGCAGGGCGGCGGCAGCTGCTGGAAAGTTCGCTGGCGGACTCGACGGGCGGCGGCGGCGGCGACGAGTGTCTTTCTTGTGTCGCTCGCCGGTGGGAGGCGCTGGCAAAGGGAGGACACGGCGAGGAGGGCGCGCCACTGTTAAATTGCGCAGCGGGCGCGCGAGGCGAATCACACACTCGTTCACGCCGGCCTCAGGGATGCTGCGGGCGGCCCTGCTGCCTGCAGAGGCCACGCGCTAGGCCCGATGCGGCCGCCCCCCCCCATGAACCTTCTCTCCTCGTGTGCTCCTATACCCTCCCCCATCTCACCTATCGACCAGCATCCCCATCGCCACGGCTGCCCGTTGGGTTGCGCTGCTCGGCCCTCTGCCCCTCTACCGACTTCTGCCCGCGCCCGCCCAGCGCCGACGCGCCTCCACCAGGAAACCCGTCTGGCCTAATACGCACGCAGTATTATGCCTCTCTCCTTAGCTATGTCCTTGGCCCACCCGCCTACCGGGCTTCCTGCTCCATGCTCCATGCTCCATGCTCCATGCTCCATGCTCCATGCTCCATGCTCCATGCTCCATGCTCCCACTCCCGCCAGTCTCCCCGGCCCACGCCCGACCTGCAAACACTGCCTGCCTGGCCTCCTCCCCCATCGCCCCCAACGCACCGCGTCGACGCCATCAGCCACGCCCACGCCAGCTGCGGCTCCGTCGGAGAATTACGCACACGCCGCCACGCAGCCCAAGACCGGGAGCAGCCGAGTATCAACCCAGGTTACCCTTCTCCATGGGCGACGGCCGGAGAAGATCAACCCCCTTGCTCCCTCCATCGCATCCGAAATGCGGAGATTGCTGAGCTGCACCGTCGACAGGCTAGCCTCGCATCGACTGCATCGTACGGTGTGGCGTCACGTCATTTGCATCCATGGAGCCAGTCATGGCAGCTTGGCCGCCATTGTGCCCATGGCAACCCATATGAAACTGGCCAAACGCACCCGGTAAATGACAAGAGTAACCCGCCCAAAACCATCCCAGTCGACCAATTGCCGTTGCACCCTCTGCCTGAGACGCGTGTTTCAACCGCCTGTCCAAGGCCCCGTCTATTCGTTTGACACTGGATCCTCATTTCCTCGCTACCACAACATGTCACGACTGTCACGGCTACACGCACAAGGCAAGACAGCCAGCCACCTCCACTTGACCCCGGACATGTACGCAACCCCCCCAAATATTGACAACGTCACGGCCCTGTCGTCTCCCTAGTCGTCCTAGTCGTTACACCCAAGGCCTGCGATCCTGGCGCGGCGCAGCCTTCCTCACTCGTCTTCTCCTTCCGCTTCAGTCAACGCTTTCGAAGCGTACATGCCGCAAGCACACTAATGGCAATGGGAATCACAGCTAGCAGAACCCCCAATATAACAAACTCGCGGCTTCGGTCCTTCACCATCCTGTCCGCAGCTACCGGATATCTTGCCGTCCCTGCCTATCCTTTTTTTTTTACTCGCGGAACTGACTCGTGCCGCGGTAAGCTTTGTACCGGCCGGTGATCGTCTCTGTGGAGATGCGGGCTGCACAGGGCTGCCGTCCTGGTTACCTCGGGCGGCGGGAACTAACCAAAAGCCTTTTTTGATCTGACATGAAAATAAGATTGAAAAGTCCCCATTGGGCACACGTGAAGGCGTTGCCCATGTTTCATCTACACTTACCGTGGACGAAACTGCTGGACAGAACTGACGGGACGAAACTGCTGGGCAGAGCTGACGGGACGAAACTGCTGGGCAGAGCTGACGGGACGAAACTGCTGGGCAGAGCTGACAGGACGAAACTGCTGGGCAGAAATGGTTAGGCAGAAGCTAGCTGGATGTTTGAGGCTAGTGTTTGATAGACGATTGGGTTGTTGTTGTTGTTGTTGTTGTTCTTCCAGGGTCAACTGTTCATACCATTCGTTTGCTCACTTTGACGTCAAGTATCCTGAGTGCCATCACCGTCATATTATCATTCAACCCCTCTCCTAACTTGACTCTTATTTTCTTTCCCCCCCTTCCTTTTTCCAGAAAAAAACCCCATGTCTTTCATTTCCACACAGACTACACTAGAGAGAAAAAATAAACACTAGAAGCCCAACGACGAAGAGAAAAGTAAAACAAAAAGGAAATGAGAAAGCAAGAAACAAACCAGAAAGATAAACAACCTAATAGTTAAGGTTCTCGCCAAGTCTGGCTCGATGATACCTAGCAATTTCCCCTGCTGCAACTTGTCTGCCTGTCCGACCGTCCGTTCGGGATGGCACTAGATCAGCATGCACGCGCATAACACTGGTGTATAAAAAAAAATTTTGGGTATAAAATTTTGAAAAAAAAGAGAGAGAGAGAGAGAGAGAGAGAGAGAAAGAGAAAGAAGGGGAGAAAGAAGGGAGAGGAGAGGAGATAAAGTAAAGTTTACCACTTACCACTTAGTACTTACGAACTACGAATACAAGTATCATGCCTACTAGCAAAAAAAGGAAGAAATCGAACCATGAATACGAAGGGAGAGGGAGGGGGGGGGGGGTGAGGGAAATGGAAATCAAAGTTGCAGCAGTATCCGTGATGCGTGCTAAAGTAGTAAAACCCGTCGAGTCAACCAGCGCCCCTCGCACGATAAATGGGGCCATTGCTGCTGCTGCTGCTGCACGTGGAGTGTGGGTGTGAGTGTGGGTGTGAGTGTGAGTCTGGGTGTCATCAACTAGAACGAGAACTAGAACTAGAACTGCAACTAGAACTAGAATCAGACCAAGGACGTAACCAAAGGACGTGTGAACATGGACATGGACATGGATATGAGGATAGACATGGACATGGATACGCGAATCTCCTCCTCCTCCTCCTTATGCAAGAGTTTGGGCGTCAAAGGGATTGGGCAGCATGGGAGTCGGGTCGATTGTGTTGGGGGTATTGGATGGAATGCCGTTTTTTTGGGGGGGGGGGGGGGAGTGAATAACGACGACGACGACGACGACTACGAAGCAGAGGAGGGAGGATATAGTAGATATGGAGAAAAGACGTAAAATGCAAATTTGAATAGTTACTTTGTGGTAAGTAAGTACCAAGTGGTAAGTAGGTACAGCACTTCTCGAGTCTGTGCATCAGCAGCTACAAGCATGTGTGTGTGTGTGTGTGTGTGTGTGGTGGTAGCAAAAAAAGCTAGATTCCCACATCTAGTGTTGCCGCCATGGAGCCAATTTCTCGTACGCGTACGCATCCCCCCCCCTCCCCGTGCCAGTCTCCGTGCTTGTTTTGTCAGTGCAAAGTGTTATTAATACCCAAGGGGGGGGGGCGAGTGTGCATGCTAGTCCCGGAATCTGCCATGTGTCCTCGCACTCGCACACGCCTCTGCATCTCACATCTCATTTGCCGTGTTCTGTGTCTGTGTCTGTATCTGTGTAGGCGGTGTACCGTGGAATATGGTGACGAGCAGGATACACACACACACACACACACACACAGTGTGATTGAGTGAGTGAGTGCTGCGAGGAAGATGAGGGTCATTGTGTATTTTTTTTCCTTGATTGCTATTTCTTTCCGTGTTATATATATATATATATGTGTGTGTGTGTATGGAGTATTATAGTACGCGAATGAGTGAGTGAGTGAGTGAGTAATTCGAAAAGAAAGTAAGAAAGCAAAGTTATACAGTCCATCATACAATACAATACAATACAATACAATACAATACAATACAACAGAAGAGAGGAAAAGGGAAAGGAGAGATGAAAAAAAGAGGGAAAGAAAAGATATCACATTGTACATATTCATATTGATATTCCTATATATATCCATCTGTCTGTCTGTCAGTCTGTCAGTCTGTCTGACTATCCCTCCATACATGTAGCTGTCTTGCCCCAAGACATATAGCCATACAACAAGAGACAATTCCAAGTCAATCTCACTGTTGACACACTACCAAGACATGTCCATGTCCTCTTCCGAGTATAAAATAAGACAATGGTCTTTTGTATGCCAAACTCTATATCTTTTTCTTTGTCATAACCAGATTATTATTTTTTTTTCATCGAGCTCTGGAATCACGAGCTTGAGTAAATTGCTGCGTGTCGTATTTGGTGTAGATATGTGGGGGGGGGATTGGCAAGGTAGGATGATTTTTAAAAAAAAAGGGGGGGGGGGAATTAAGAAAAGTGGATGGATGTGCAGTGATTCTATGGAACTGCTTTGATCATGTTCAAGGATACGTGTGCATGGTAGGCAGCATGAAGTAATTAGCTAAACTTGGCAGTTTAATTAATTACTACTGCAGTCCGATGCCCAAGACTCCTTCAACCCAACATGACAACTCACAACACTCAACACTCAACACCATCAAGTCAAGTTCCATCCAGAAAGCAAAGTTGCACAGCAAACTTTCAGCCACTGCAAGTAATCTCAATTCAACTATACGATGCTATGATTGTTCCCTAGTCCCATGCAAATGATATGTGAAGATGCAAATTTGAAAAAGAAGAGAAGAAGAAGCAGCAGCAGCAGCAGCAGAAGATGCTGAAGGAGAAAGGCGAACAGGAAAGCAGGATAAAAAGGGAGAGAAGTCACTCCCCTCAGCCCCAACAAACCGATTCAACAGTAGTGACAGTGAGAGAAATCTGACGACAAGGACCTCCCAAAATGAACAAAGGAAAAAAAACGCAATGCAAAAAAAAGTACACAATGACGACCATCCACCCACACAGAGAGAGAGAAGAGAGAGGGAGAGAGAGAGAGGAAGAAGAATTGAACTAAAAGCAAAACGCCTAGCCAATGTTATGATGGTCATGTCAATCGTGTCTATATCCAAACATGCAACCAAAGGATTTTTCGCTTCAAAAAAAAACAAAAAAAACACAGAAACGCTGATACAAGGAGAAGAGAGAAAAAAAAACACAAAGGAAAACAGAAAAGAAAAAAAGGGGGGAAGAGGGAAGAGAGAAACAAGGCCCCCCCCACCCTTCTAGGGTTGGAAATTCGAATTCCCATTTCGAAGGTGAGCCGGGGAACCTAGAGTGGAAGAAAAAAAATCAAGGTATACTCAAAGTGTCCTAAATCGGGCCAAGCCAATATTTATGCAAGTGTTTGCGCTACTTTTTTTTAAAACCCCCATGCGGTGTGATAACGGTGGTGGCCTACCCCTGTAAGTGGTAAGGTAGAAAAGGTATGCGAGTAAGAATCCCAGGCGGCGGCCGAATACAAGTAGCGTGGGGAAGAGGGGGGACGCGAGTCAGTAGCATAGGGATCCAATCAGAAATCTACACTCCATCTAAATCTGGGATCTTTTTCTGGTGGCCCAAAATCCCGGTCAAAAGGGACATTGACAATGGTATCCGCTGTTTCATCCTCGTCGTCGTCCTCGTATCTGTTGCTGCGAGTCCGGTCTCCTCGTGCGGCAGCCGTCATATCCTCTTGCGAAGGCGGGAGACGGATTTTGGCCTCGACCAGTGGAGCAGAGACGAAGCGCGAGGTGAGCAGTGCGCGGGGGGAAACGAGATCTTGGAGACAGCTAAGAGAAGACAAGTCAGATGAGTCGAGAGTTTCTCGGTGCTTGGTGTCGGCAGAACGGTGGCGGACAGGGCGGGGTTTTTGAGGAAGAGCAAGCATGTTCTCATCACCACGGTGGGTACGAACATCGGTAGCAGAGTCGTTCTGTCCAGAGTTGTTAGAAAAGACGGTTGACAGTGCAGGTCGGCTCTGGCGAGCACGGACAAGCTTAACGTCGGAAGCAGCTGCGCTACTCAAAGTGGAACTGCCTCGGACCACAATGTCGCTTGAGACGATAGAGGATTGCTGGGTACTAGCAGTGTCTGTGCGTGCTGTAGCATGGTCGCGTGCCGTGGTTGCATCGCATCTCTTTCTATGAGGTGAGGTGCTAGTGGCAGAAGGCGGCCGGGTTTGCGGTGTCCTGCAGCGATCCTGCCGCTGCGTGAGATTGGAATTGGACACGTTTGGAGAGGCTGTGAGTCGGTCGGGCGTGTGTCCGCGTTCGAGCTTGTGCATCAATTGCCGTGTGCTGACCTGGCGGCCCAGACTCAACTCGACGCGGCTGCTGGCACCGCTCCCGCTGCGGCTCCGGTTCCTTGCCCGTTCCTTGCCTGCCATGACACTAGCTTTGGGCGGGGGTTGGAGCATCCAGCGGTTCTCCGAGGGGTCGGGCGACGGCAGACTGACGACGGGCGGGTGCAGCTCATTGACGGGAGGGACACGTGCAATGTAGTAACTTCCGGACCGAGACACGTTGGGCCTTTTGATTTGGTAGCCGCTGCCGCCGACGGACGAGCCCGTCATGGTTTGCTCGAGAGACGTGGGGTGGTCGTCGTAGCCCCAGAGATGCTCGTCCTCGCGCTGGTAGCGCTTGTGGTTCCACGTCTCGTCGTCGTCGTCGTCGAGCGTGTCGTCGCTGAGGCGGTTGTCGCCCGTGTGGTCGACGTCGAGGCTGCTTCCGCCTTTGCTGAGTGCCGAGCTCTGGGTGCCGCGCGTGGGCAGGCCTCTGGAGCTGCCGCCATGTGGTGTGTTCGCTCTGCGCGCTCGTCGCGGTGGGGGGCCAGGCCCCAGGGAGATTTCCTCGCTCCAGTATGCATTTGTTCCGGTGGGTTCGGGGTGGTGGTAGGCGCCGGGTTCCTCGAGCTCGAGCTTCTCTCTTAGCTTGCGAGCCTCTTTGGCCGCCTTCTGTCGCTTCCTGCCGTCGCTGTAGCCGGCGCAGGGCGCGCAGGAAGCATAGTGGAAGACGGCGCTCTGCACCCCTCTCATGAACCAGGCCATGGTGGTGGAGGAGTGCGGTTTAGCTGGGGCGAGGCAGCGGGACAGATGAGCGAGAAGTACCTGGAACTCGACCGGTTTCGGATGGGCGCAGCGAGGATGGGTTGCCGAGGAAGGCGGCGTCGACACGGGGGCTCTCAGACGTCGATGCAGCATGGAGCGTCATTGCCGCTCTCCGTCATGGAGCCTTCCAGAGCACGGCGACAGAGGGCAATTGGGGGTGAAATGGGGCCGACGTTTCGAGTGGGTGGTTGGGGGAGCGCGGTCCACTGATCCGGGTTCCGGCCGGTGAGCGATGCAGGATGCCGGTTGCAGGTGCAGGTTGCAGGTCGAGGACGAGGTGCAGGTGGCAGGGAGGGAGGGAGGGAGGGAGGGAGGGAGTGGGAGGGAGAGGGAGGGAGGGGGCCAAGGAGGTGAGAAAGTGAGGTGAGGTCAGCGCAGAGGGCAGCAAGCAGGCACGCAAGCAAGCAAGCACGCAAGCAGCAAGCAGCGCAGTCAGTATTACTAGATACATACGCGTCTCGGCGCCTGGCCAAGTCGTGCCCCAACGATGCGATCGCCAGCCAAAAGCCACCGTTTCCGAGTTAGCGGAAACGGGAGCCGGGCGAGGGCGAAACAGGGCAACTTTGTGCCTCTCTGGCGCTGGGCACTGGCGCTGGGCACTCCCTGGCCCGGTGTTGGTGTGCTGATGCGAGCACGCAAAGCCGCCGCCGTCAAAAGAGCGACTCGCAAATGTCGCCCTTCTGAAACCCCATGTGCTGCAATATCTAAGCTTTCTCGCATATTATACGCCCGCCCCTCTCATCTGTCGTCTCTCGCCCTCTCTTTGTCTGGCCGTCCCCAGCCCGCTCGCCCGCACCCTTGCCAACACATGCATAAACTAGCGGGGTTGAGGCTACCAGGCCCACACTTCATGGTGGTTGGCATGCATGGTAGTGGTAGTGGTAGGGCTCGGAAGCGTCGGGGGTGCCGAGGAGGCCGAGAGGATGATGTGGCGGAGGGGACGAGACTGGGGGGGGGGGGCATGATGACATGACTTGGCGTTGTGTGGGGTTTAGCAAGAGCAATATACCACGTGCATGTTTTTTGGTGGACAGAGCAGAGACGGGCAGTGCGGCGGTGCGATGAGGGTGGGAGTGGGAGCGGGAGTGGGAGTGAGGCTATGTGGGATGTAATTGTATGCAACGTGTACAGGGGCGTGAGTGGTGTGCAGGAGAGAGAGGGCGGCGACGCGCAAGCTGTGCTGGCGGGAGGCGGCATAGCGCGTGGGCGCCTCGCTTCGCCTCGCGTTGCCTCACAACTCTACTGCGACGACGAGCACCGGCGACTGGCTGCTGGCGGCGTGGGCGCGCGCCTCGACTCTTGCACTTGTATAGCTGTCGCTAGTGCACGTGTCGTCGCAGCCTGTACAATTTCCATCCCTGTCCAAACCCTCTCGTCTTTGGACACGCAAAAAAGTAACCCGGCCGCCACCACCCTCACTCGCGGATCTGAGCCTTGAGCCCAGCAACCTCTCGCTTCAGCCGCGCATTCTCCTTCCTCAGCCGCGCCGCCTCCTCTTCGCTCGACTTGAGCCGCCGCTCCACTTCCTCGCTAGCCCTCCCCTTTCGCGCGCTACTCGTCACCTTCTCCAGCTCTTCGTTGAACCGTGCGTACAGCGCCTCGTTCTCCGCATTGACATCGCGGTACAGCTGGTCCAGGTGCTTGCATCGCGCTTCCGACACCTGTAGAGACGTAGCCACGTCGCTGGCTATCCCCAGCGTCCGTGCCGACAGCGTCTCCAGCGTCGTTTTGAGTTGCTTCTCCAGCACCGCCATGCGCGCCTCGACCGACCGCGTCCCGTTGGTTATCGACAGCGAAGGCGCTGAACTCTGAGTCGTCAGACGCGGCGTGCCCTTGGCACCCAGCTCCTGTCCAATCGCACTCAGCTCGCTCTGCAGCGCCTGCGAAGCATTGTCAATGTCCTGTTCTTGCGCCTGCAGTCTCTCGCGCAGCTTCTGTGGCGACTGCATCCGGAGCCTCTTCTCAGGACTGCTCGAAGAAGGCCCCGTCTTCGTTGGCGACCGTGGTGTCGACGGCGGGAGCTTGACTGTATTGCCAGACCCGGTGCGCTCGTGCAACCCCCCACTCACCGTAGGCCGCAGACTGGGAATGCCCGAAACCGTCTCGCTCCGCTTCTTCGTAGGACTGTGCGACTTGATCGTCACCTCGTCTTTGATCTCTAGCTTCGTGGTAATCGACTTGGCCCGTACGTGTCCTGGCCGTTCGGGCTTGCTCGGTTCCGCCCCAACCGTCGCTGTGTTTTCTTTTCTCTCCACCCGTATTGGCGAACCAAGTCGTGCAGGCGCCGGTATCGCCGACGCAATCTTGTTGAGTGTTGCCGTTCCCGAAGGCGTCTGAGGCCGAGGCGAATCCGTAATCTGTCGATTCTCGTGCCGGAGCATAGCGTCAGTTTTGCGAGGTGTCTCTGGTGACCACTCAGGCACATCGTCAGCATCCTGCAAAGTCTTGAGATCACTCAGCGAAGACCGTCGCTTCTTGCGCGGAGGCCCGGCTGCGGGCGGTACCTCTCCAATCGTTCCCAGCGCCCCACTATACGGCCGCCCATTGTTGGCATTGGCATTGGCACTGGTATTTTCAACATTGAATGCCCCTAGCACAGTCGGCCGATCGCGCGACGATGGCCGCTTGGGCGAGAGGCGCGCAGCAGCGTCGGTCGAATTCGAACGACCCAGCGGCCCAACGCCGTTTTTCGATATGCTCGCTGGCTGCAACTCGGCTACATAGCTGTTCTTGCTTAGCGAACGCCAGAGCGAGCCCACCTTGGAGTCGTTTTCCGATTTGCTGTTCTCCCGACTCAGAGTGCCAAATCCAAAACGCCTCCTCAGAGATGTGTTGGAGTTGATCGAGCCCGCAGCCGTGAGCCGGCCTTTGGAGTCTATCGAGCCATAGTTGGGCGTGCCAACCCCAGGTGTTTGCGGTGGGAAGAGAACGTCAATGTCTTGCACCAAACGATCCATCAGCGAGATGAAGTCGTGCGAATTGCCAGCAGGGACGAGCATCTCGGCAAACGCCGCCGTGAGAATCCCGCAGTCCCCGTCGTTGCTGGTGCCGTCCAACAATTCGGCCAGCAGGTTGATGATGGCTCTGAATGCTCGTTGGTTCGGCGGCGCGAACTGGTCATACATGTTCCTGAAAAACTCCTCAAACTCCTCGGGAGGCATGCTATCGGATCTCATTTGCAACGACACGAGCGTAGCGTGAGACAGCACAGGTCCCATGCGCTCTCGCCAGGCGATGCTCAGAAACTTCTCAAACACGGCAAACAGCACGTCGACCGACGATTGACTAGCGAGATCGAGGTTGCCAGGGTTCTCAAGCACCGTGTTGTAGAGTTCGTTGACGACCAGTTCATCAGCCACGGTCCTGGCCCGAACAGAACGTCCGACAATGTTTCCTTTGCGCGCAAGCAAGGCCAAAGTCAGGTTGGCAAGAGACTCCTCAAGCTTCGATATCGGGTCACTGCCGAAGCCGCTGAATGTGGCGCTCTTGTTGGTGCTCGATGAGTTGGGACGCGATGATTCGCCATCACGACTTTGAGTACGGACGGGCGCAGGCTGTAGCGGTGGTGCCATGCGCGGTATCTCGCCCAAAGTATGCGCATTGCGCTGTAGTCGGTTGCGAGAGCCGCCACCCTCTCTGCCGATGCTGCCCACTGCGAGGTTGCTTACACTTCCGCCAAAGAAGCTCGACAGCATCTTGACTGGAGAATGGGGCCGGCTCTTGCTGCCTCGTTCCTGTTCCATTTCATACATTTCGAGAGCAAGTGACTTGAGTATTTGGTGATTCCGGCGTAGATATGCCTCGGTGAGTGACGGATTCTTCACGCTGTTGCGCAACTGGAAATAGTTGGTCAGGCGCTTCGTCAGCACAGGTAAAAACTCAAGGCTGGTAAGTTTGTCGCGCGCTGCGTATCCATGGGCGCCAGCTGTTTCCAGGAGATACAAGTCGTCTCCGAGAATGGTGATTGTGACCGTAAGCTCGATGCCGTTGTCGCCGACCTGTATGGGTTCGGCAAAGTTGGATCCTTCGACGAGAATTTGCACTTTGGCGGGTTCCTTGCGCCCTTCCACTTGCTGGCCACCAGTCTCTTCTGTGATGGCCGAGAAGAAGCTTAGATCACTGGGCAGGTTTCGCACTTCCCATTTATCGCCCTCTCGCTCTTTTTCTGAAAACCGGCCCTCGACGCGAGCTTTGGTGAGTTCCTCTGTGACCCTTTGGCCTTTGCCCTCGTACGGGCCCTGCAGATAGAACATGCGGAGTCCGGATTTTTGATACTCTCGATGACGTGACCGCGACGATGGGTTCAGTAGAGGCACTGGCGACACGACTTGGATGATGTTTCCCTCCGAGTGCTCGCTGATGAAGACATCGTTCAAGTTGAGATACTGGTGGAAGGTAAGTTCTGTAGTGCCATCATATGACTCGGCAAACTTTGGATTGTCTAGCTCAGCCAGTAATCCGCGAGCATTGATGGAGCCGTCCTCGGACTTTTGGAGAAGGACCAGGAAATCTGTAAAGAGTACCATGATGCCGGATATGGTAGCAGGCCCGGTAAGCTCGCCGTGGTATGGTGGTGATAGTTCTACGCAATCGATGACTGTCATGAGTCGGCCCTTGGGGATGAATCCTGACGGCCATGAAGAGACCATCTTGCGTAAGCGGTCACGCACTCTGACCTGTTGTGCAGTGGGTCCTTCTCTTGTGCAAATGTCGGACACTTTGTCTCTCGCCTTGAGGAATAGCCTGATGGCCGGGTGTCTCGCTGGCAACTGTTTGAGTATATTATCGATATATAGGTTGTATCGTGGGAGGCGTTGCACGGGCTCTATCAACATGGATGTGAGCCGCTGCTCGCCCGTCTCGTAGACCCGCTTCGAGAAACTCGACGATGGGTCCTTGGTAAAGTGCTTCAGCAACTGTGAGAAATCGCCATGGGCCGCCATGTAGTCGGTGTAGCAGTCTGAAAACTGTGGCAGCCACTCGAGCAGCGTTCTTGCGACTGCAGCCGCTCCTGTAACGTCGGGCGCATCCTTTTGCCCTCGCAAAGGCGCAATGTAGACATCGTCTGTGGCCGTTTCAATGTCTTCTATTGCTCCATTCTCTGATTCTTCCAACACAACGCGCAGGGCTTCGAGGAATTGTGAATTGACTTGGAGGATCTTGTCGAGACTGGGAGGGAACAGACCGCGCAGGGCTTGCTCGGTCGGGCTGCCGCTCGAAGATGACTTTTGCATGGCCTTTGCGCGGAACTCGACCGCCACTGTGTGCACCAACTCGTCCAGCTTGCTAACGTAGTTTTCCTCCGTGTCCAGCAACTCGCACAGCTCGCGTCGGAGAGTCTCCTTTTGTTTTCGTGAAAAGGTCTGGGATCGGTTGAGGGATGTGGGTTTGGAGGGCGCGCGGCGGAGCCTGGATGTGGGGAGGAAGGCCGACTCGCCAAACAGGCGGACGAGGGGAGCGTACTGGCCATATTTTTGCTTGGTCAGGTCGTCTTCGACATCCTCAAACTGGGCCGAATCCTTCAACTCGAGCTTGTGGATGCTTCCCTGGGGCAGGACGACATCGACGTCGATCCACGAGAGCGTCTGCTCGCCCAGGGCATGGCGCACGTCTACCACGACGTCCATGACATTCTCGACCTTGACCATCTTGGTGGCGACAATGGCGGCATGCGACTCGGAGAAGAGCCTGGGGGCGGAAAGCAGGCTTTCGGAGGAGCCGTAGCGCTTTGCCCATGCCGTCTTGATTTCGGGGGGCAGCTCGAGAAAGTACTTGTAGAGGCTGAAGGCGAGGCCGCGACATATCTCGTCGCCCTGCTCCTCGCGCGGCAGGCACGAGACGGCGTTGTAGAAGGTGGCGGTTGGGGATATAATTAAGCGGGCATAGTTGTGGAAGCCGGCGGGCGTAAACACATGGGCCTGGATGCGCGAGTGCGTCGCCTGGGTCGAGGTTGCGGTGGGGCCGTAGAAAATTAGTACGGGAGAATTGGAGAGTAGCTCGTCAGTTGTGTAGAAGAGCGACAAGTCGTCGGCGGAGAGGGCCGCAGGCTCGGGGGTAATTACGACGCCCATTGTGTCTCGGGCGCGGTGCAAACGAGTGACGGGGCGGGGTTAGGTGCAGGTCGATGGATGGGCAGGACGGCAATTAGTAGATGGCGTGCATGATGCAGCCGCGTGGAGACGGTGAAGGGCGAACGTGGCAATGGTCGTGGTAGTGGAGGTGAGGCGGGCGTGGACGTGGACGTGGGCGTGGGAGAGGTGGGAGAGCTGCCGTGGTAATGGTCGGGAAGCCATGCAGCAGCAGCGCAGCGCAGCAATAGCAGTGCAGCAGCGACAGCGACAGCAACAGCAACAGCGACAACAAAAATAACAACAATAACAACAAGCAGCAGCAGCAGCAGCAGGCGTGGCGGGACGTCTGTTGTTGATGGAAGCCCGTACACACCCAGGCCGTCGTGCAGCAGCGGCCAGGCGCGGGCGCAGACTAGAGCGGGAATTGCTAACGCGCCGCAAGGGCGACAAGGAGGAGAGAGCATGGGGGGGTCCCCGTCCAAATCACCGCCTGCACCGCACCGCACCGCCAGGCACTTTGGGGGGCTTTGGGGGGAGGAATCTGGATACACGGCCTTGCAGCTCATTGCGCGACCCGCCCCTGCGCCTGTGCCGCCGAGCCAAGCAGCAGCAGCAGCAGCAGCAGCGGCGGCGGTGGTGGTGGTGTGCTATTATCTACTAGGTATTACTTGTCCATGTAGCCATCCATGATGTATGCACGTCGCGGCGCACTGCATTGCCGCACCCCGCAGTGTCCACAAACAACAAAACACCGTCGTCATAGCAAGCCGCCTTTGCCTTTGCCGTCTCCTTCGCCCGCCCGTCTCTCCCATTCCACCATCCAACGGCCACTGCTACAATCGCGCCGACAGCCCGAGCACGCCATGGCCACGCAGCAGGACACGGGCGGTGTGCCCTTCTCCATCGCACATCACCACAACCACTTCCGCCTGCTCGAGCTGCCCCCCGACCTTGTTGAGCTGATCGACTCGCCCGCCCCCCCAGTGTAGGTGCGCCGCCGCCGCCATGTGTCGGCCTGCCTGCTTGTACCGACTCCCTTCTCATGCTGCCCGCTAGGCTGTCCATCAAATCGCGAGCCGCCTCGTCCGCCGACGCCACGCCTGCATATGCCGTGCTCTGTACCCCGACCAAGTCGTTCCAGCTGCGCCAGGTGCACACGTCCAACTCGCTCTTCGTCACCCAGCCCGCCCTCGAGGCCCATGGCAGCGACATTCCCCTCCCCGCCACGCGCGCCATTGCCTTGTGCAGCACCACGCTCGAGCTCCACCCCTCGGCTGCCTCCGCCCTCGCCCTGTTGAGCGACGCACTGCCCGTCTATGACATTGTTTCCGGCGACGTTGACGCCGCTGCCAACGGCGCCACCAAGGCCTCCATGTTCAACCACATGCCCCTGTCCGACGGAGAGTGCCAGGCGGCCTGGTCCCAGCTCATGGCGTTTGAAACACTCGACGGCGCCTACCAGCCCTCCCCAGCCGCCCTCTCGCACGTCTGGCGATCCATCCTCGCCGCTGCACTGGCAGAAGGCATCCCGCTGCACCAGCAGTTCATGCCCCACGACATCACAGCGCCCGTGGCCGACGAGGGGCATCCGGCGGGTCTCACACAGGCGGTGCTTGCATACTTGGCACCCGACGACGCTGACCAAAGCGGCCCATGGTCGTCTCTCGATCGAGCAAAGACGGTCGCCTTTACCGGAAAAACGCTGCTGCAAGCCAGGCGCGGTGCCGACTTTCTCATTGCCGACTTCACGGATACGTGGGAGGACCGCTTGCCAGAGGTGTGGCGGAAGGATGCGCAGCTCGCGGCCATTGAAGGCTTTTATGAATTTCCCTCTGATACCACCATCAAAGCCAAAGCCAAAGCAGCACCCACTCAGGCTGCGGAGAGCGCAACGCCTGCTTTAAAGCCGTCGGCGCGTAAGTGGCACGACAAGTTTGCCAAGACCAGAAAAAAATGAGGCCCATCTGCCAGGCTGCTGTGGGACCGTTGCGCTGTCACGTGACTGTGCCTGTCGGTCTCGGAAGCCGCACTTGCCGGCTTGCTAATGCAAATTTCATAAGCCGCGAGTGGCTGCATACCTGCGAGGCCACCCATGTGAGGCTTCCAAGATAACACAACTGCGACTCTGCACCTACATATATCTCCTGCCACTGCATGTCTTTTCTCTAGCATATGACGCGATTCCGCTTCTTCGGATCGGTTACGAGAAACCTACAAACACACTGCACATCACTTCAAAGGCGCTATTTCGCAAGCACCACCACTACCCTGCAACAATCACACTCTCGTCCAGAAACCATGTCTACCCTTTCAGGCGATAATGGCCCAACTGCGGCCGTACCCCCAGTAGCCAACGACGCCAGTGCAGCGCCTGCGGCTCAAGAGGAAAAGCCCTTGCCCAAACTTACTGCGTCTGAATTCCGCCAATACAATAGAATGGCCGAACACATGAATTACTACCACGATAACTTCCGCGCAACATGGAAAGTCCTCTACGCCGCCAGTGAATCCCAAAAGAGGCCCAAAAACATGTCTATCCGTCAATTCATCGGCATGGGCCTGCAATTCTGCCGTGAGAGAGCCCCTTTCCCGTTCGCCTCCAAGTCCAATATACTAACTCACCACCAGATCACCTGACAATCCACCACACGATAGAAGAACAGCACATCTTCCCCGTTCTCGCCAAGAAAATGTCCGCATTTAGGAAGGAACTCGAACTGCTCACCCACCACAAGATGATCCACGCCGGCATCGAAAAGCTGGAAACGTACCTGGAAGAATGCCAAAGCGGCGAGCGTGAACTGCGAATGACGGAGCTCAAGGAAGTCATGGATTCCTTTGGTCCCGTCTTGTGGGAGCACTTGGATGCAGAGGTCAAGCAGCTGGGAGCAGAGAACATGCGAAAGTACTGGTCTTTGGAGGAGATGCGTGCCATGCCCATGTAAATACGTGTTTTGCGTCTTTGTAGTGCAACCGGCATGAGGGCAATCGGAATGCCCATGTAGCGTTACCAACCTTTAATCAACATTTTCCTATGTCCATTCAACACCGACATGATGCATCTTCTTTCGCATATCAAAACAACAAAGTAAATTGTAGAGACTAATGTACTCTTTTTCTCTCCCATCCACAAACACACACACACAATGAGGTGTTTGAAAGGGCAAAGTGCACACATCTCTAACCTTCTCCGCCGCAACCAACAACTACACATCCAACATCAATACCCCCCTTTTTTTTCCTTCATCCCCACCACATTACCCCTTTTACACTCGAAACACAATACCCACCACCTTCTCCTCCTCGTCCTCCTCCTCTTTCATTCTATTCTCCAAATCCCCCACCACTCGCCGCGCCACCTCTCCCTTTCTCGTATCTGGAAACAACAAGCAACATCATCATCATCATCATCATCATCATCATTACTTGCAACACACAACCCCACCGCAAACGTGTGCGGAGAGCAACGTGGGGTGACAGGAGTGAGAGGGAGGAAAGGACACTTCCAACCAAATACAACATGACATGACATGACATGAGATAAAAACCCGCCCCCATCTCACACACCTATTACGCTTCAATACACATCGTGTTTTACCCTTCCTCAATTCTCCTTTCTTTTTTTTCCCCTCCTTCTCTGTCTAGCTTGATTGATTGATTGATTCAAGTTTAGTTTTTTCTTCTTCTTTTGCCGCGGTTTTAGGCTGTGCTCGCACCCGCACTGCCTCGCCTTGTTTTCCTACCTAAGTACCTGATATTATGTATGTGCGGGGAGAAGGTTACTTAGCGGATTTTTTTTATCTACGTCTTTGGTATACAATGAGGGGGGATGTGGGCTTGCGGAAGAAGAGGGGGAAGGGGGGGGGAGCCGATGTCATGACTATGTAAGTATAGGTATGGTGTCAAGGTTGATGGATGGATGGATGGATGTAACACGGAGATAAGTACAGTAGAGAGCGTTTGTTTTGCAGGATGCGGAAATAATTCCGGGGAGCTGCAGAGTGGATATAGTGGATATAAGGGTGCTATTATTAAGCGTGCTTGGCTGCTTTGCGGCGTATGTGGGAGGGACATTGGGGATGGGAATAGAGTATGGAGGAAATGGAGTGAATATACTGCATTTATGCCGATTGTCGTGGTGGTTGTATGTGAAGATTAGGCTTAAGGCGTTCCGGTGTAGTGTGGGTGGTCAATGCGTGCAACGGGTCAGACAATGCAACACCACCACTAAAATGTCCGCCTATCAAAAATGAGGCTGTAGAGCACCATACAAAAGCTATTATCACGAGATTTTTTGGTGGAGTAGTCTAAATAGTTCAAAAAACAATCCTATCTACTCAAATTTCTTTGGCAGTTTGATGTTGCGGCCGCGCATCGTTGTTTTGGTGGTGGGCTGCGCAGCCGACGATGCAGACGCACCACCACTTTGGCTGCCTGCATCACCACCACCCTTTGACTTTTTTGACTTTTGAGACGATGAAGCTTTTCGTTTAGGTATATTTTGCTTATCGCGAGCTTTTTTTGAAGTTGCGACTGCGCGATCGCGAGCTTTTTGGGCGCGTCTTAACTGGAGTTCTTTGGCCCTCACTTCTCTCTCTTTATCCCTCGCTATTTTCTTCAACTCCCGCGCAGTCCTTGCCTCGTCTATTAATTTTTTTCGTAGAGCTATACTAGCAGCTCGTTCCTGTTGTTTCTCTTTTTTTTTGGAGTTTATCAAGCTCTTCT